ATTTATTAATTTTTCTTATAATTAAAAAATAAATTAATAATTATTATATAATAATTATAAAGTTTTGCATTATAAATATTTATTTTAATTATTAAATTCCTATAAAATCTTTTCCTTTTTATTATAATAAAAAATATTAATAATAACTTATAAAAGTTATTTAATATTTTTATTAATATACTTTATAAAAATAATAATAATAAGTATAATTATTTAATAAATATTATATTTATTACTTATATTAAGGATATATTTAATATAATTATTGCTATAGCTATTATTAATATAATTAATATTAAAGGTAGCTTTATTATAACCCTTAAATAAAATTAAAATTCCTTTATAAATATTATAATTATAACCTTAATTAATAAAATAAACATTATAATTATAATCTTAATTAATAAAATAAATATTATAATTATAACCTTAATTAATAAAATAAATATTATAATTATATTCTTAATAAGCAATAAAATAAAGATTAAAATTATTATTAAGGCTATAAAAAGGGCTAAAATCATCTTAATTAATAAGGATAAAGATAAGCTTATTAATTTTATTAATTTTTATAACAAGGTTATTATTAATAACGCTTATTTAATAAATATTAATAAGGATATTAATAATAATAACTTTTATTTACTTACTTATTTAATAAATATTAATAAGAATATTAATAATAATAATTCTTATTTACTTAATATTAATAGTAATTTAATTATTATTAATAATAAAGATAATTAAAACTAAGCTAATAAAACCTTAATAAAGATTATAAAAACTACCTTTAATTTTACTTTTATGTTAAGCATTAAAAAAAGTAAGCTATTTATTAAGATTAACTTTTATAAAATTATTAAAATTAATAAGCTAAAGGTTATAGCTATAACTTAAGCTAAAATATTTTTCTTAAATAATGCTATTATAATAATTATTATTTAAATTATTAATAACTTTTAATATTAAAATAAGTAAATATTTTTTAATAATATAATTAAAAAGTTATACATTTATATTAAAAGCATTAAAATTTTTAATATAAAACTATATAATATTCTTAATAATAAAAATTATTAAGATAATCATTATCTTAAATATTAAATTATTATAATCTTTATAATAAATAACTTAATAAGAATTTTAATCTTAAGTATTTTTTATATATATTAAATTAAAAAGATTTAGTTATTAAAGAATTAAATTATTATGCTAACTTAAGTTTAAAACTTTTTATATTAAATTATTAATAAGTATATATAAGGCTTATATATAAAGAGATTTATTAAAAAATATATATTATTACTTAAGTAACTTAAGCAAAAAATAATTATTAAGGAAATTAAAAAAAATAATAAAAAGTAAGAAAAGAATTTAATAAATAATTAAGTTACTTATAATGCTTAATTTTAAGAGAATAAAAAGTAATTAAAGGAAATTAATTTAAAGCAATATTAAGTATATTTTAATAATAAAAATAAGGATAAAAATAATAATATTTATATTATAAAGATATATAATAAAAATAAATATAAGCTAAAGGATTTAATATTAACTTTATAAGCATTAACTTTCCTTATAAAGAAGAAATTTAAAATTAAGGTTTTTATATAAAAATTAATAATTTTTATAAAAAAATAATCTTAAAAGTTAAATATTAAAAATAATAAGTATAATATTTAAAAAATAATATAATAATAAAAGTTATAAGTTTAAAAAATAATATAATAATAAAAATTATTAAAATTTACTTTAAAACTTATAAGTTATAATTTTAAGCCTTTTTAATAATACTTTCTTATAATAAAGATTATATATATATAATATATAATAAATTATAATTTTAAATTAATTATAATAAGAATTATATATACTTATTAAAAGAAGAGAAAAATTATAAGTATTAATAAGTATAACCCTTGCATTTAAAAGGCTACTTTAGTTATTCCCTCTAGGGCATATAGCCTTTCAGAACTTAGATAGAACAATACCAATATATGATTGCTTCCCATATGATTATCGTACGTACGAGAGACCTACCAACAGAGACCATGGACGGCAGATGATTATTATTGAAATGATGCAGCAGATGAGCTTGAAAAAGACGCACCTGGCAACCCCTGGCTACTGTTCCACCCAGACGCCTTCAACTTGGATGTCGTACCGTGGCGCTGCTTCAGCGACGAGCGAGCCGAGACTTCACGGACAGAGACGACAACCATGAAGGATTTCTATCAGGAGCCATACGAGCTTGGTGTGCTCAAGGCAAGATGCGTCACCTCTCGCAGCCTGAACGACGCGGACTTCAAGACTGCAACTCAACACCTGAGGTAATCGAGGGCGCTCAAGCGATTCAAGCCTCCAAGTGCTACGTTTCCCGAACATCTGGGGATTACAGCGGATGATCTGTGGAGAGACCAGGCCATTGTTCGCTACATGCCTGAGTTCATGGCCTGGCTTGGCCATACCCCGGCGCAATGGGCGGCGGTGGTGGTTTCGGATGAGCAGAGAATCCTGTACAAGAACAAGAATATGTCTCGGAGTCGAAAGATGTTTTTTTGGGCGGGCAGAGAAGATCCGATTACGCCAGGGAGGAGACTGCCCGACACGATATAGAGCCCCAGCACATCGAAGACTTGTCAATAAATGGCGTGTCAAGTTTGGGAAATCGAGGGGTTGAGTTCAATATTGTCATGTTGGGCTTGTGTCTGGCAGTGGCGCACTCGGAGACGGTCTGGTACCGGCTTCAGTTGATAGACTACCTAGGTAGGTAGAAGAATAATACTTGGGTTCTCCCAACCTTGAAGACCCCGTCTAAGCTCCGCCCTTCGTCTCAATCCTCACTGGCAATCCTAAGAGCGACGAATCGGCAATGGCAGAGTAGGCAAAACAGGTGATTTGATCCCTCGGTTGCTTTTCCAATTCCCCCTGCCCGGCTAATATCCAATTGAGGTGTCACCAGTCTGGGTTGCGTGTGGGGTAGGGGTAGGTACATGAGGAAGTACTTTGTGTAAGTCACTCCCCTGCAGCAAATCAGTGGAGCTCCCCGCAATCAGGTACGGCACCACGCTGCACAGCTCCAGTTCCGCACGCCACTTCCCGCAGCGACGGCCCCAATCAAGACCCTGTCCCTGGAGATACAATTTGGCGACCTGTCCTTTGATTGACAGAATCGTCCCAAGAGCTCCGGTTTCCACAAGCTGACGACGCAGACCCCTACGCCCATCTTTCCACAGAGGGCTCAATTGCATGATCCAAATCTCTGAGCAGACATTTCCGGGGACGAGGTGACAGTTTACGACTTTCTGGAAGTGTGCACACCGTGGGTCGGCTGCCAAACCTCGCGGCGCAACGCTCCCCTCGACCAACAACTTCAACCGCCCGACCGAGCACGACGAGCCAACCCAGCTACGAAGACGGGACCCAACACGATATCCTTCCGACCTGAAAGAGGCCTCTCTCTCGGCCAGCCATGGCTTGGCAGAGCCCCTACGACAGTCCCTATCCGAATGCGGGCCCCAACAGCCCCATGAACGGCTTCAAGGACCAGAACCTGGACGAGGATGCCTTTGGCCCAGCACCCGGCAACATCGTCAGCGCATTTGACGCCTTTCGTAAGCTCTACCCCTCTCCCACCCGCAACAGAACACTGGCGCATTGGAAACTAACACACGCCTCGTCTCCTCGTAGCCAAATCGAAACCCCAATATGTAACCCGGACCTCGGGCGGTGGGAAATGGACCGTCGCCATGATCTTCGTCACCCTCATTCTCGTCTGGTCCGAGCTCTCGCGGTGGTGGCGCGGCACCGAGCAGCACACGTTTGCCGTCGAGAAGGGCGTGGGCCACGACATGCAGATCAATCTGGACACGGTCGTGAGGATGAAGTGCTCCGACCTGCACATTAACGTCCAGGACGCCGCCGGCGACCGCATCCTCGCCGCCTCAAAGTTCAAGCGCGACCCCACTTCGTGGTCCCAGTGGGTCGACATCAAGGGCAACCACAGGCTCAACAGGGACCAGCACGGCAAGATCGTCACGGGTGAGGGCCACGAGGAGGGATTCGGCGAGGAGCACGTCCACGACATCGTGCGGCTGGGCGGGAAGAGGGCCAAGTGGGCCAAGACGCCGAAGCTGCGCGGGCCCAGCGACAGCTGCCGCATCTTTGGGAGCTTGGATCTGAATAGGGTCCAGGGCGATTTCCACATCACTGCCAGGGGTCACGGGTACATGGAGTTTGGGGAACACTTGGACCACAACTGTAAGTCACGCTGAGATCAACCAAATCACCCTGTGTCATGCTCTTGGGGCTTCATTTCTGACTGGCGGTCGCACCTCAAGCCTTCAACTTCTCGCACATTGTCAACGAGCTCTCGTTTGGCAGCTTCTTCCCATCGCTTGAGAACCCCCTCGACCGGACCGTCAACGTGGCCACGAGCAACTTCCACAAGTTCCAGTACTTCGTTTCCATCGTGCCGACTGTCTACAGCGTCGGGCCGGCGAGCCCATATAACGACAACACCCTGTTCACTAACCAGTACGCCGTCACCGAGCAGAGCACCGAGGTCAACGAGCGCGTGATCCCTGGCATGTTTGTCAAGTACGACATCGAGCCCATTCTCCTGCAGATTGAGGAGTCCAGGGATAGCTTCCTGGTCTTCCTCATCAAGGTTATCAACATCCTCAGTGGTGCGCTTGTCGCCGGCCACTGGGGTTTCACGCTCTCGGAGTGGGCGAAGGAGGCATGGGGAAAGAGACGGAGGAGGAACACCGGTATGATTGGTGTCAGCGAGAAGGATCGTTATCGTGATTAGGGTTAGACGGAGCAGACTTATCCTGTTGCTTTATTTAAGGATTTAAAACTGTCTGGACGCATCTTATACCAATCTGACATATATAGAGCACGAGGAAGGCGTAAGGTGAAAATGGATTTCCGGTCTCTCTTTCGCTCCAACGCTCCGCAAGACTAGCTCGGCGCAGCGCAGATGGGGTAGGCGGATGTCAAGCTGCCCGGGGCTTGACCAGTCTCCCCCAGACACGCGGCATCAAATCGTGGGGCTCCATGCTCGTCTCGATCTCGACAGTCTGCCAGTCGCCGGCCCCGACCAGCGTCTCCCTCGTGACCCGGTCAAGCCGGCAACCACCGAATACGCTCGGCCAGACGAGGCCCCATAGCCCTGGAAGAGGCAACGCTGACGGTTAGTTGTTCCATGTCTGGTGACAGACGATACATGCGCGTGTTAGGTTGATTAGGGGGCGGGGAGGAGGGGGCGGACTCACACTGGACAGACCTCGTCACGACGTCCTTATTCCGACAATGCTCCCAGAAAATGAGCTCACCACCGGGCTTCAGGAGCCTGTAAAGATGCCGAGCCTGCTCCTCCGGGTCCGGGACAGAGCACTGCCCGCCCACCGGGCGTCACCAAACGTGTTTCAATTCCGCGAAGAAAAGGGGAGGAGGAACTCACCAGCACCTGCATGCTGACCACACAATCGACGCTCCCCTCCATGACTCCATACCGCGCCAGCGCCTCGCCGTCCTCGACGCTGCAGGACACAAGTGTGTACTTGCCGTCCTGTCCCAGCGCCGTCTCCCGCAATCTGTCGGCGAAGGCCGGGGCAAAGGCCGTATTGGGCTCCACGCCGTAGACGTGCTCGACTCGCGAGGCGTTGAACCGGTCCAGTTGGGTGCCCGCCCCGGGCCCGAGGTCCAGGACCACGCCGTGGGCTGAGGCGACGAGGGAGGGAACCGGGGTTGTGGATTCGAAGGCGATGAAGTTGTGGCCTAAGGGAGGGGGTGCGCTTGTTAGTGATGCTATGGGCATTTTCTCTGGGGTGAGCTGGTGTTCCGTGGTATGAGGTCGAGGGGCCAAGGCAAATATGGGTTGAGACGCGGCTTGAATTGGTGTCATAAGTGGGAGTGGCAGGGCATTGAGAGGGTCGTCTCCGGCCGGGTGCCCGAATCAGGAATATGCATGGAGGTGAATTACCGGTGCAGCGGTGATTGGGAGGAGGAAGAAAAGTGCGATCGAACTCACGTTCTGCCTGGTAGAACTCGGCGAAGGCGTGCTCACGAACGTCCCTGCTTCTGAAGAGCACACCTAGCTGACCTCGGCGCAGATGGGCCCAGATATCTTTGGAGGTGGATAGCTCGTACCACCGGCGCCGGGGGAATTTGGAAATCAAGAGCGAGGAAGGAAAACAGGGGGCAGGCAAGGGGGCCAGACGAGAGAGAAATATAGAGGATGGTAAACACGCATCCTTTTATACCACGGGCGAATAAGGGTGAACGGGGCGTGTAAGTCCCGTCACAATGTTAACCCGCGCCGGTAGGAGAGATAGAAGAAGACTTGAGAGAGACATTGAGGGTGGGAATGGGCTGCCTGCTTACTATCTGCGCAACCCCATTCATCTTCATGGCCGTGACCAATGGTCTGACACCGTTCCGAAGGCATCCCTGTCACCTGCCCTATGATACCATCGATAGACCAAGCCCCAAATCACACAGCGCATGCTTCGGTATTGCTCGCTCGAAAATGTATATTTATATTTTGTCTATTCGTTTCATGCACCCCTGTCGTCTACCAGACTCCCGGTCAGGAAAGTAGGTATTATAAGTCTATTCTGTATCGTAAATGAGCAATGCCGCCATTCTCCCAATGCTCACAGCCCCATCATGTTTGTGGTGTTGAAGCCTGCCATCCTCTTGATCATGAGCCAGAGCTCAAACGCCTTCAGCTTGACCTCCACCCGGATGAAGCCCAGGGACGCAGCAATGAGTCTCAGCGTGTTGGGCGGCCAGAGGTACGACCCATGCTGCCTGATCTGCTCGAGCTGCTCGTTGAACACCGTCCTCATGCAGTACCTCGCCAAGATCAAAAAGTTCCTGATCGGCCCCTGCCGCGTATGCAGGCTCTCATCGAGGCTGCGGGTGAGATCGTTCGTCTTGAGGATCAGGAGGATGATCCTCGGCACCTGGCCCAGCAGCTGGATCAGGTCCTCGAGCAGGCCCTCCTGCAGGGCGCCGGACATGGTCTTCTGCTCGTCCGGCGACTTGGGCTTCATGATGGACGACTGGACCACCGTGAAGTCACGGCCCGTGATGGCGGATGCGAACAGCGGGAACTGCTCGTCCGTGATGCCGGCCACGTCTTTGGTGTGCTTCTTCATGCGCTCCAAATCGCCATCCAAGAGCGCCAGCCACATCTTCGCGTACGAACGGCGCATGTCGGTTTCGATATCGCGGTAGAGCCCATGGTCGTACAGAATGACATCAAAGTTGGCGCCGTACCGCCGCGTGTCGTTCTTGCGGATCGAGATGTTGCCGCCGTGCGGGTCACAGTGAAGTGGTGCGCCTTCGCCAAAGATCATCTCGTTGAAGATGTGGGCCAGGGTAGCCGATACCTCGTCGCGGTCAATGCCTTGAGAGTCGAGGTATTCCAGGTCGTCTAGCCGGTGGCCCGATTCGCAGGCCATCACGAGGATACGCTTCTTTGCCCAGATGACCGAGGGGATGACGAGCGGTAGTTTCGGGTACTTCGCGAAGTAGGCTTTCGTGCGCATGGCGTTCTCAGCCTCGCATTGGAAGTTGAGTTCCTGGGGAAGTGACGCGTCCATCTCCTTGGACAGCCATTCTAGATCGTATTCCGGGAAGAACCTCTTCAATGTCGTGAAGGTGAACCTTGTCAGGGCCAAGTCGAGGGGCGCCCAGCTTGCCAGGGTTGGGTGTTGCACTTTGACCGCGACCTTCTGACCCGTCTCCTTGATCGTGGCCAAGTGTACCTGGGCTAGCGAGGCAGCACCGATTGGCTCGCGGGAAAACTCGGAAAAGTAGTCTGACAGATCCTCCCCCGTGTCTCTCTTGAACATCTCTTCGATCGACTCGATTGAGGACACCGGGCACTTGTCCTGTAAGGGGATGAATGTCGTCGTCCATTCGGTGGGTAGTAGGTAGTTCATGGCACTCTGTGAGAAAGTCAGCCGCTTCGCTCCGAAACACCCTCGTGAGGACGGTGCAGGGCATACCAGGTGCTGTCCCAGCTTAATAAATATTCCTCCATTCTTCTCCAGGACCCTAAGAGTCCTCTCAGCACTTCTCTTGTGGCAGCTCTTCAGCAACGAGCTCTTCTCCTCCTCATCTTGGACCTGATCCCGCTGGTTCAACGTAGTTCGGTAGCTGGGCAAGGCCAGGTCAGCTTCTGGGGATGACGCGCAGTGCAAGGGGCGACGCACTCGTTTATACAGATGAACAGGGCGGAAGCCACCCTCCCTGCCCTTTCTGCGCCTTCGTATGTGCCCTTGATATCGTCTGCCACAGTCAGGAGACCTATTCCAGCCGCACCCCCTGCATATAAGACAAGTTTCCTTCTCGGCTTCGTCGGTCGTTTTGTTGAGCTGCTGGATTGGAATCTCCTCCCCGAGCCGAGTTGTCGGCGTATCGCTAACTGGCTGGGGGCCGTCCTGTATGAGGAATTACGACATGATGTGCATGTCCAATGCGCTGGGCTGGTCGAGACGCGCCGCAGGAACGTTGACGATATTGAGGTGTTCATGCTCGAGGTTGGACGGTCATCTGGAGTGCTGCATGTTCGTCAAAGCACGGCTGGAATGCGTCAAACAGGGCTTCAATTCGTCATCATGGAAACAAGAGGAAGGAAAAAGGCGGAAGGCGATTTGGTCGAAAAAAACAAAATGTCGAAACTAGCCAGATTTCGGACAAAGTTGACGTCTTGCACATGCGGGTTTTTGCCAGCTGCAGCCGCCGATCGCCGACAGTTCTGTTCTGTTCCCCAACAATCTCCATCGGGGGCCGTGGCATTGGCGGCTCCGATTCCTTGTCCCGGCCGAGGCTTGTCCATCTACAGACTCGACTACTGGCTCGCCTTTGCTCTCCTAATTTAGCATCGCTTTGCACCGAAGAAACCAGCACCAATCATGAAGCCATGTAGAACTTTTATTTGATTTTTGTGCTCATTTGTAGTTTCGTTTCTAAGATGCACGTCGCTCAACTCCAGAATTTTGCTGGAAAGTCGGGGCAAATCTCATCTGTTCATCAGCGCAATGCTCAAATTGCTCGTGTGCTTTTCGTCAAACGGCTCTCGCTCCCCAAATCCCCACAGCGCCACCAAGGGCCCTCGCACAGACGGGGGTGCCTTCCACTTTTGCATTGAGAGTGATGTAGCTGAACAGGAACTTGAGCGCTGCGAGATGGCCCAAACAGACAAAATTGGCTGCGGTCACCTCTGGCCAGGACGATTTCATTCGTTTGTCGCAGGCCAGCAGACAGATAGACAGCCAACCTACTGCCTCGTCGGCAGCTCGACCTCTGCCGGCCGCGGGGATTCTGGCCTGGGGCTGTGCAGGAACGACGCAGGGCTGCGCAGCTTCGGGCTCGAGGGTGCGGAGTCGAGCTGCGCCGTCCAGTTCAGGATCTTGCTGCCTTTGTACTTGGTCGGCTTTGAACCCATGTCTGACCTGGTGTCCTCGTCACCGTATCCATCCTCGGTATCGGAGAGCTCCATGCCCCTCTGCGCATCGCGCTGTTCGACCTCGTGGTTCTCCTGCTCCAGCCCGCGCAGCGTCATTGTTGCGCTCTCGGGGAGGGGGCTCTGGGGAAGCGGGGTTGATCTTCCGTCCCTGGCGGGGTTGCTTCCAGCGAGGACGTGTGCCGCTGGTGGTGGTGCAAGGAGCAGACTCATCCGGCGGCACGTTTGTTTGAGCGACTTCTCGTCAGACTCATCGAGGCTGTTGGTTATGCCTTTGAGAACATCCACCGGAAGTGTAAGTAGTGACTTATCGGCTGGGACTGAGGCCATCTTGACAGTCAATGGATGTAAGCTTGTCTGAGAAGGGAAAGCACTGGTGGGTGTCAGATACCAATTAATGGCAAACGAGATCGTCTAAGGTTCGGTTCGGTTGACTGCGAGAAGGTACAGGGCCAGTCAATGAGAGAAACAGGTGAGACACTGCGCGGATGTGTTGGCCATTTGAGAGCTGCGCTTCGACAGCCGAGGCGGCACGCATGACGTCTGGAGACCAGCATTATCGTTGCTGGGCACTGCTTGCGGCGTCTGATGTTTGATGTCGCCTTTGGGCAGGCAGCTCGAACCGACCAATTGACAGGGTGAGTCGCTACCTCGTTCCTTCCTTCCCAAGCTCTCGGTTCCGGTTATGAACCATGGATAAAAACAAACTTCACGCAAATGTCTGTGCCAGAAGGCAGGCGGACAGGCATATGCACATACTTGTGTTGCTGATCATGCAGTTCTCTGCCAAGCGCTGTCAAGATGTCGTTTAGCATGCAGCCCTGCTGCTCTGTTGATTCCGGAGAGAGACACCGCTATTTACGGTATAGATCTTCCCCGAGGGCCCACTGGATGTGGGACTGATGCTCGCCTCACTTCGACCTCCTTCACAATACGTCGACGAACCTTCCCTCAATCATGGCCAGCAAAAGATACAAGTCTCTCCCTCCCCCTGTATGTGCGCCCCGTATGCTTCATCAAGATATAGTCTGGTGCAGGCTGCATGCCTATGATTGAGTGGTGTGCAAGGAATACTTAGATGACACCCTTCCCTTCCCAAAGCCTAGAACCCTGACATCTTCATCCCACCCACAGATAACCCCCAGGTTGTGTGGTGCCGATGGACCGGAAATGCCATGCTCGTGGCGCTCAACAGCCCGGGTACAGGCACTCGAGCTGACGTTGATGTAGTGTGTAGAGTTCGGCTACCGGGTGCGCTCCCAAATGAGCTACAATCCGAGTTGAAGAAGCACCCCTTCCCCATGCTACCAACGCACACACAACCTATTATTGGCCCGCCAATGGCTCGCCGTGAGAAAACCCTGAATAGCTTGCATCTCAAGCAAAAGATCTTTCAGGATGATATTTCGCACCCCCAGATGGACCCGGAAGGCTCCAAATGGATCAAGGATAACGTCGAGCCCAAATTCTGGGCGCGACTCGAGGGGCACGGTGCTTTGTCCTCGACGATGAATTCGAAATTGTGCTTGATGAGTATGGTCCTGGAATGCTTGGTGGTGGAGGGCCTTTTCTCACAGCTCAGTGCGGATAACGGGCAATGGCGACGATCTCGACGCTGTCACTGCAGTGCTGTTCTACCCTCGGAGGTTGGGCAGTATGTGTGGTGAACCACACCTGCTTCTAGGCCCCACAATGGCTGAAAAGACGACGGGGTTCCGCTTAATAAATTGCAATGCATACAGCAGGGCACGGAGTAGTCTCATTGTTTGCAAAAGCAGGTGGGTCCTTTGGAAACGGGCATGGGCTGTTGCAGGGTGGATACTGCTCGATAATTCCCGATTCTGACACCTCTCGGAACGGCACCCCTGCCCAGAGGAATCTGCCCATCATGGCACGGTCGTGGTGCAGCAAATGAAGAGACCATGAAGCCCAAATCACAAATGGCCGCCTGATCCTGCTCCTGCGTGCTCTGGACAACTTGTGTGGGAATCTGCGCACACCCGCCTCTTTCACTCTCCAAGCCACATCACATCGCATCCCCCGTTCCCACCCCCCACCCACTCCCGTAGGCCAATTGCGCACCACTCCATCAAGACGAAACGGGGCGTCCTCAGCAGAAGCAAGGCCTGGCCACCCAGCTGCCGGGTGAACCCAAACATGTTTGCCTCGACATGCAGCATTGGTCAGAGTCAGAGTCATGAGCGCGCATGAAACCCACCGGGTCCGGCCGCCGGCACGGCTGTGGTGAACCCCTTGCCATTGTTGCTTGTTGTTGGTCCTTGGGAGGAAATTGCCCTCTCACCATCCACCGGCCACTCTTCGATCCTCCTAATTCTGCAGTCTAGGGTAAAGAAGCTTGTTGCTCGACTAACATGTCGACGGCGCCACCCGGGCCCCTGGATGGATCCCCTTGGGGTTGTTCTTGGATCCGGGGCATCGATTATATCACACAGCCGTCTTGTCTGCGTCCCTCCTTCTTGACTTCTACGTCTTCGCTGTGTCCTTATACTCTCTCCCGATGTCGCTGTCGCTCCTTTGACCAAGAGATTTTCATCCGAACCCTATGTTTCTTCCTTTCGTTAGCGGATAGAATCCTCGCCCAATCTCTATATCAAACATTCGAGCATACTGGTTTGCCATCACGTTCTCTTCGAAAATATGAAGCTCCAAGTCGTGCTTTTCGCCATCTCGGCCGTCTGTGTTTCCGCGGCTTGCCCCTCGGGAAAGAGGCCAAAGTCCTCCTCTGCGGCGGTATCAACCACTGCCACATTTTTGCCCTCCCAGGTCCCGGTGGCTGCGGCTGCAGCTGAGCCTTCTTCCGCAGACTCGGATGGGTCATCTAGCTCATCGTCGAGCAGCTCGGATGACTCATCTTCCAGCAGCTCTGACGACTCATCTTCCAGCAGCTCTGCCAACGTCTTGAGCGCCGCTGCTGTCTCCGGCACGTCCACCTTCTACGGGGGCAACCTCAACGGGGGAATGTGCTCCTTCACCACAATGTCCAGCCTCCCATCCGGGCTGTACGGCACGGCCTTTTCTGGCTCCGCTTGGAACAGTGCTGCCGAGTGTGGTTCTTGTCTCGAGGTGACCGGACCCAACGGCAAGATCAAAGTTATGGTAAGTCGTCCCCTGTTAACATTCCATGCTGTTGGCCACAAGCTCATTCGGTCTCCATAGGTCGTCGATCAGTGCCCTGAGTGTGAGGAGGGCCACCTGGATCTCTTCCAGGACGGTTTCGCGAAAATCGGATCCATCTCCGCCGGCAAGATTGCCACATCCGTAAGCAGCCCATGAGTTCCCTGTTGTCGGTTCCAAGCCGTTTTAAGCGTCCCTGTTCATCCTTGAAAAGAAACTTCGAGACCTTCCCATTCCTTGAGATTCCGGAACGCTTTAGACAGACTTGTTGCCTTGTATTTGACACGTCAAGAATCGCATGGCTGACTCAAGTCGTTGCAGTACACCAAGATTCCTTGCGGCATCACATCGCCCATCGTCCTCCACAACAAGTCTGGCGCCAGTGCCTCCTGGTTCTCCATGCAGGCCGTCAACTCAAACACGCCCGTGTCTAAACTCGAGGTCAGCACCGACGGTGGGAGCACTTGGCAGGCCACCACTCGGACCAACTACAACTTCTTTGAGAAGTCGAGCGGATTCGGCACGAGCACCGTTGATGTTCGTTTGACCAGCGCGTCTGGCGGCAGTATCAAAGTGAGCAAGGTCTCAGTTGCATCGGACTCGAAGGTCACCGCGGCCTCGAATTTCTCCTGAGCATGCTCTGAGAATACCTCCCATTCAAAGGATCTGTGGCCAGGAGTCCTTCTGTGTAAAACAACTTTGCTTTTTTTTTTTTTTTGTATATATTTCGGAGTCAGAGGTTCCGCCTTAACCATCGAGGAGGGTGGTGACTGGCAGACTTAGGAGGGCAACATAGTGAACGAAGTTCAAAGTATGAAGCGCAGCAGATGAGCCTTGTCAAATGCTAGCTCTCAACGAGACATAGGAGTCCGCGTCACCGTCTGGGATTAGTGATACTTGCAATGCGTGCGTTCAGCTGTAGTCCGCAGTTGCCAAAGGACCGTAGCACCAAATAGACGATAGATTCGATGTGACATGAGCAAGCTCCGTATGCGGATGGTGAAGATCCTGAGACCATGAAAATGAGGGCCTGCATCGTGATTATTCCGTCACTCCTCGGCAATGTAAGACGTCGGGGATTCAAGAGGGCATCAGCTGACTTCAACTAGCACAACATACGGGCAGCTTTTGAGCTCAGGGGTGTTACCATGGCTGGATGCCGTTTAACCCGGCCTCATGCGTCGGCTTAGAGACGTGGCCTCGATCTGGCCATCCCAAACGAACGCTGTCAGGTATCATCTGTGCCTGATACGACGGTGCCACGGCAGGTAATGAATGCTTGTTCGTGATGGGCGGTTGAGTTGGGGGCTGATCTCCGGCCCGACTCGCACTCGGCAAGGACTAGGGTAGTACACAGCTGACAGGGTTTCATGTACTACAGTACCTTCCTTCAACCACACCCACCCTACTGCATTCTAGTTATTAAATAACAATAAAATACATACTTAGCTTCAACGCATTTATAAAGATACTACGTTTGAAATTATGTTCATTACTATTATTATAGAGAAATAAAAATTCGAAAAAGTGGTGTGTTGGGGTGAGAAATGGTACCGGCCGGCTTGGCAGGGCGCCAGTCTAGCGGAGCAAAAGATGTTTAATTCAACAACAGCTCTTCCTTTCCAAGACAGGCCAAGTGGTGAGTGATTTGCGTTGGTCAAAACCTCGTAAGGCTGAGTACATAGAGATCTTGAATGGCCACCTCGGTACTAGATTTTTCAGAGATGTGACAGAGAGCCTCGTAAGCAAGAGTGGCCCTCAGGTGAGACGGAGGCTGGCTGCCTACGAGTGTTATCAGAGGCTCAAGTATTCAACCATCCCACAGCCCCCCTTCCTCCCCACCAACGATAGGCAGTCGTGAAGACTTGGGAGTCATGTCGGTAAGACTTCGCATAAGCAAAAATGGGGTCTGCTTACCTTGGAACTGCTACCCAGGCGCGTCGCTGAGGCTCAGTGCTCTCTTCTCCGGGTATAAGTAGCCACGTCTGGCAGCAAGGCGACCAGGTCGGGACAGTATTCTCAAGGAGTATCGTCAACACAAATATGCAAACTTTGCCATCATCCACCATGGAAGTGACCACCAAGCCTTTGCACGCCTCCCAGTCCTTTTCCAGGGCCAAATATGGCTCCCTGGCTCGCTTTCGCCAGCTGTCTGCCTCCTTGTGTTACCACATTCACACTGTCTATCTCTTATGCTCCAACAACATTTGGGACATAGTAATCGGCGGATTTCTCTTCGGCACTATCAATTCCTTTGCGGCTCCACACATTTCTATGGGACCTGCCCTTACCTTGCCCCAGGTTGTAGCGGCAACTCCCAACATGCTGTTGTGGTCTTGCAGCAATATCGTCTTGTTCTGCCTCCACAACCAGAGACAACCTGGGAATATGGCCGAGGATGTCTTAAACAAGCCCTGGCGGCCGATGGCGTCTGGCCGCCTCACTCCAGACCAGGCCGTCCGGCTTCTCTACTTCATGCACCCACTTTGCTTCCTCGTCGGGATGTACGTAGGCGGTTTCGTGCCCTACGCAGTCTTGACGTTCTTTCACGTGTGGTACAATGAGTTTGGGGCGGCCTCCAACGGAATACTGAAAAACATCTTCAACGGCGTCGGCATCGGGTGCTTCTTCGCCGGGCCCCTCGAGGTCGCGACGCGCCACTCGGTCTTCTCGGGAAATGCCGAGGGGGCAATCTGGGTCGGACTCCTCATGGCCGCGTTCGGCACGACCAGCCACGTACAGGACTTCCGGGACATGGAAGGTGACAGGGCCGGCGGTCGGAGCACGATCCCCCTCATGATGGACGAGATGGCCGCCCGGGTTCTCGCGGTTGCGGGAGTGGGATGCTGGACCGAGCTGACGTGTCGGTTTTGGCGCGCGGGATGGCTGCAGAGGTCAGCACCGTGGGTCACCGGGGCCCTGCTGATTGCGAATCTGATGTTGGACCGAACGAATGCGGGAGACGTCCGAGCTTGGCAGCTGTGGTCTGTTTGGGTTTTGGCTCTGATGTTGTTGCCGATCTTTGCAGCTTGAGGGCCGGATGTCAAGTTTGGAAATGGGACTCTCCATTTCGGCCCCCAATATTTACTTAGTCTAGCAAGGCGGCTGACACCTCTTTCATGCTCCCTGTACGTTAGTCTGCATGATATACAGGGTAGATAATCTCTCATGAACTCTGGGGTGTACACTCAACCGGCTTTAATTTTATTTGTTCGACATGAAGGGCGGCTTGCACACAAATTCTGGTGTGAGGATCCCAAAATGCACCCTGCAACGAAGATTTGATTGGCCAGTTCATTTTGAAGTCCTTCTGACCAAGAATCCTTACTGGAAAAACATGTCGAGGAACAGCGGGTTTCCCCAGAATAATTGAAGGTCTGTACACTTTGCAGCCAAATTGAATGGGATAGATACCTGTTCCGAAAGAAAAAAAGAAAAAGAGAAAGAAAAAAAAAAGGTAAGGGCAATACGCATCTACAGGGAAACATTCGGGATCCTCAAACGCTGTAGATATCCGAGGAAAAGAGGGTATTTCACAGGATCAGGCAGGCAGGCGATGCAATTCAACCTGATAGCAACGGCAAGTGGATGCTCATGCCGGCTAAAAAGTTATAGCCGCTCGAGTGTACATTGTACATGTGGTGAGGGAATTACGCAGACACTGAACTAGAGTGGGTCAATCTGTACGTTGTAGCTTCATCTGGAATTTTCCGTGGTGAGCTACGAATGCTGCAGTCATCCTACAATTTTCTATGCTCCATGCGCGATATCCTCTATTGGGTTTCCAATCTCAATGATCTTGGCTGGTGCCTAATTAGTGTAGATATCGATCTCAATCCTGATCAGTCCTTCTTAGGGGAGGCGAAGACCCTCTCCCTTACATACCACCCAAGCACGAACGCAGCCCCTGGCCCTATACCAGCAGTCAGGACGGGTAGCACTGCAACAAACAAGAGGGATAAATTTCCGACGAAGCCAGCAATGTAAAGGTCGAGGAACGAATAAGCCAACCACAGGAAGGTAGCCACGTAGACCCCTACTTCGTCAGCCTGAAGAGCTTTTCGGGTGTGTAGGACAAGTCCAGATTGTGGTCCAGCCTCAGGGAAGAAGAGGGTCGTCATTGGATGAGGGGAGAATAAGAGCGTGTAGCCCCAGACGCCGAACGAGATCAGGCCAAGCGCGAAAAGCATTGGTTTTGGGGACAGTAGGCGCTTGACTCCCAAAAGTTGGATGGCCTGGCTGGCAACGATGTTGCCTAGACCAATCCACAGTGGAACCAGCTGCCAGGCCCACGTCCAGTAATGCCTCGAGGTGAATTTTGGGGCGACAAACATGCCAAGCACCATGGACGTATGGAGGAGAAGCACGATAGGCACCAGGAGAGACTGGCGCGCATGCCAGACAGTCCGGCGTTGTCGTGGAGCTGTGGCCAGCTCTGACGCCGTGGGACCGAATGTGAGACAAAGGAAGTAAAACACAGGCGCCACCGTTCCTATGCCCAGCAATTGTGCGGCGACGGTAAAGAAGGTTGGGCTAGATCGGTATCCACAAACAGTAAGTGACTGGTTCAAGCAATGGATCTAAGGGATCGTATCGGATGGCAACATGGATGGACATACATATACGCAGGCGACCACGAATTGGCCCCACGGCTCGACTCCAAGATCCAAATAGCGAATACAGGTCCCAAGTCTATGAGGAATGAGAAAACCTGCCAGGCTCCGACTGAATCGTATCCAAAGGTCGAGGTCGAGAAGGTGGCCATGCTTCCCCGCCAAATCTCATCCAAGATCTGAACGCCATGGAAGTTGTCGAGGATGCTGATCTCGTTATCATCCCACTGGATGACACCGGACTCAGCGTATGGTTCGGCATTCGCGTCGATCTTCTCGAGGTCCATCGACTGGAAGCACCAGACGGCTACCAAAAGGAAGGGCACCGCGACGACGGCGCGCCCCAGTCTGCTGGCGATGGATGTCATTGTGGCACGAGTAGAATATAGCAACGGTTTTTGACGACTGAATGAAAAAAATGGTAGAAGAAAAAATATTCGATGTTGGCTCTAGTCGAAAAGAAGATCCTGAAGGAAGAGAGGGCGTTCTTCTATGGACGCGAGATCCCGAAAGTGTCTTTCTTCGACATGCTGGTAGCCACTTTTATTGGCACAGCCCAGGTGCCTGCATACCAACAGGTACCGAGTATGCCGTTGGCTTACTGAGTGGGGGCGGGTTTCCTTCGAAATATTGATGAACAAATTGTGCGACGTATCACTTTGAGGGCCCATCGCTGCATCCCTACCCCAGCTTCGGAAGGATTCCTCATTCCTACATATCACGGTTGCATCAACGGGGCGGGTTGCTCGGTTGAAGTGCAACACACGTTCACGCAACTCGCAGATCACAACGCAATTGGGAGTCACTAACTGCAAAACCCGAGGTGTCACGAATGGAGCCGCTGCAGTCAGCTTACAGAGCGTGAACAGCCAAGGGCACACTGTCTTGGGCAGGCCGGTAGCCGAAAAAGGATTCGAAAAGTGGCTGACGTGATATAGAAAATTTCCCCCGGTCCATTTCTCTCTCTCTCTCATACCCAACTTAACCTAGGAGTTTTACGGACCCGCTCAGTGCAGTGTGATCGAGCGGATGCGTCGTCTGGGAGATCCAAGCCCGTCGCCACTGCGAACCCGCCATGTCTGCTGCCTTCACGCCAGAGCAGATCCAGTACCTGCAGGATCATGCTGATGATACACTCGTTCCGTCGATACACATAGCAAACGGCACTTGTGTAGCCGCAGCCACCATCTCGGTCATCTTGAGGTACTTGGCTCGCCGCTCAGGCGGCGCCAGCTTGGGAAGAGATGACTACTGTCTTTTTGTCGCCTATGTCAGTTGAAAGAGATCCGGAACCCACTGCTTTTCGGGAAGGAAAAAGTGTACTCATATGTCGCTTAGGTATTGTACGTGGCTTTTGCAGCTTCACTTGGAACGGCGACGCGCTATGGGGAAGGACGGCATGTCAACCTCGTGACCGACTTCAGAACCTACGCCATAGTAAGTCGAGTTGCATGCTGGCTGGCTGCCCCGTTCGTCAGAATGAGCTGACCGTGTGAAGATCAACCTACTCCAAGCGAGCTTTTATGTCTTTGGGATGGCCTTTGTCAAGTGCTCCAGTCAGTAGTCCAAGCCATCTTTCCCTTCCTGGGTCCCTGCATCATCGACCAGCAGCGCTTCTGAAGAGTTGTTGGCTGCATGTATGGTGATTTCGAAAGCTAACTCTAGCTACCGCAGTCCTCTTTCTGTACCACCGAATCTTTCCCGGAAAGCCTTTTCGAAACGTCCTCCTTGTCGCCGGTGCGATAGTCTTTTCGTGGGCTATGGCTGCATTCTTCCCCAGTATAATGAGCTGCTATCCTGTTGAGAAGGCCTGGGATAGTTCTATCCCTGGACGGTGCATCGACTACGGGGTTGTGACTTTGGCGATTGGCATTTTGAATGTGATCATCGATTTCGCAATGCTGAGTCTCCCAATGCCTCTACTGTGGAAATTACGCATGTCTACTAGGCGCAAGGTATATCTGTCAGGCATATTCGCTGTGGGTTGCATGTAAGTTCGTCGCTCAGATGCACTTGTACGCTAGACCAACATATGTCGATTGAAGTGCCTGCATTGTGAGCATCGCTCGACTGTTTTACGCGAAAGAGGCGTCGATGAGCTCATCGAGCGTGGTGACATCCAGCGGCCAACAGACCTCGATCTACGACCCAAGCTGTGAGTCGCTGCTTCTTTATTTACTGTTTCACCCTTCAGGATCATCATGATGGGTGCTCGACTTGATACAAAGGAATCCTAACCAGTAACATCTAGGGCAAGCTGTCTGGCCGGGAATACTTTCGGGACTGGAAGTTTGCACAGGGATCGTAGCATGCTGCGCTATCACCTATCGGCCTCTCATTGAAAGGCTATTCGGGTCCTCGAGCAGAAAGGATTCCGCTGGTACGTCGGGCTCTAACGACACTGGCTCGGGTTGGAAGAGGATTCACGTTCAGCACGACGTAATTGTCAGTCAAGACCCACGTGCCAACGCGTCGCCGCCGAGTAGCGATCCATGTGCTTCACAAGAGTGGGAGTTGAGACCTGTGAGGTTTGAAACAAGGCTGAATTAAGGCCTGCTACGTTTGTGCAAATCTTCCGTTGACTTTTTGTACATTAAAGAGGTGTGAACCTAATACAAATAGAGACATTCGTCACCTGACAAATCGGATAAGAGTTGTTTTGTAGATATTTCATCCTTGCCTGGACACTCAATCATTGCCTAATGTTTGAAAGAAAACTTGCTCCAGCTCCAGGTCCTATCGCCATATATATTCAGCCCAAGTGGAACCGGAACCATAAAAACACAGGCAGACGCCAAAAACGAAGAGCCGCAGTCTACTCTAAGACGGTCGTACATGAATTATATTGGCGACCAAGCTGTGGACGACCTTAAAAATCGACGCGGCGGAGTTGGCATGTTCACCGTATGCGCCGACGACGTAGTTATACGATGCCCACAAGAAAGATCGTCAGAAGGCTGTAGCCGATGGAGAAGCTCGCCAAAACCTGCTACATCTAGTGTACGTTGCCAAACCATCCGTATCAAAGCAGCGAGGGCGGAAGGACGACTGCACCCAGGATTATAGGTGGGAGTGTAGTCCGGCAAAGGGACGCTCTTATTTGTCCCCAGGCGTTTCTTATACTGTTCCAGAGTGAAAGAGAGCACACCAGGAAGGCGGAGAGGAAACCCAGGATGACCGCAATTAATAGAAGCTCGCTCTCTTAGGTACTCCAACCCCGCTGCTGATAAATAACAGGAACAGCTTGAAAAGCCAAGTAGAGGATCTCATACACAAGGTTGGGATAAGCTGTGATCACAACAAGGTCTAAAAGAGAACATGCAATCATATTTTGGTACAACATTAAGAATATACTTCCCATAATGAACAAACGTTCAAGTATTCTTCAGAGAAAATTTACGTTACAAATTAAGCTTATAGCTAGGGAACTTTAGATGCTAGGCTGCTTGGGAAGAAGCAGGGTGGTAGTAAGGGTTGGGGTTCTCTGAACACTGCTAGTCCCGCAGCGACGTAAGAGGACCCCTGGTGACGCGCTTTGGTCTGGCCCATTAAACTTGGACCGCGTCGGCTCGGCCATCAACACTTGAACGTGCGAGCCATCAAGACAAAGACCCCGGACGCACCACTACCTGCGCAAGGCGACCTACCTAGGTAATTCTCCATGCACATGCCGTCCTGAACCACGTCTACCGCCTCAGTGCTCTATACTTCACCAAGAGCCATGTTCACCACGATGGGCCTCCCTCCAATCTTCCCCGACTTCGCCGCCCAAGCGCCTCCCACCTTTTCGTCCCCATCAGCCCACAGACCTGCCATCTCCTCGCCCTTGTCGTCCAGCCCCATTCGCGCGACAACACCGCCGCCACCGCTGTCGGCATGTGACGCTAACGCGCGGAGGGAGATCCAGTCGTCGCCCATACCCGCGTCGTGGTCGTCATCGTCGGGCCCCTCCAAGCCCGTCAGCAGGTTCGCGGCGCGCCCCACGCGGCCGAACCCCGTGGTCAGCCAGAAGCGCGAGGCGGCGCAGGAGAGCAGGCGGAAGCTCTTTCTCAAGAACGTAAGGCAGAGGGCGGACGACAGCAGGTGGGAGAGGAGGGGCGGCGAGCAGGAGGTATGTGTAGCCCTTTCTCTTTTCTTACAATCCGCCAGAGGGTGGCTGCAGAGCCGGAAACGTGGAGGCGGCGCTGACTTCCCGGGTGTAGTTGCTCAAGCTGGAGTGGTTCTCCCTGAACAAGGACCTGCGGCAGGCAAAGAACGCCGACCTCGACGGGCTGGTGTTCGAGTCGGACATCGAAGAGGCCGCGCGACTGCGCGAGGAGGAGGACGCCGCCGCCGCCACCACCAGCTCATCAGCGGCTGCGCCATGGGGAACAGCCGGGCGGAGCAATCCTGATGCGGACGAGATGATGGTGGACACTCTGGAGCGAGAACAGCGAGCCGAGGTCGAGGAGTACGAGGCCATGATGGCGTCAATACGGGACGGCGGATCTGACGGGCTACAGTGGGGCCAGCAGCATGAGCAAAAGCCGCCGGATTCGCCCCACCTGTCTGACGACGACGACTACGATGCGCTGTTCATGGACTACCTATCTCAGGATCACCATGGTCTGGAGCAGGCGCCCCCTTCTTCGGGCGAGATGGATTTGTCATGATGGAAATATGTCGTTCGAGTATTTGCTATCTGCTCTTGCTCCGGCTCTTACTGCCTACGACTGAAACTGGGCCCGGTCAGAAGTGTTGCCTATTGCACTGTATTTAGATAGGCTGGCGTTTTCATGTGATATCATAGAAATGGCGTTTTGAGATCAGGGAATCATTATGCAGCATAGGCTCGTTTGTATTTACAGATGACAGTACCTCCTGCAAAGATGCTGGAATCTCATTGAGGGTTACAAGATTCTGCGTCAGGAGCGTTCAAGGCGTCTTGTGCGGAGGGCATATCACCGACTAGGTCTGCCGGCGGTGACCCGGCAGCCTGCATCTAAAGAGAGAAGACTTATGTTAGCGAGGACGATGTTGCCCACACCTGACAGTGGTGACTTACCTTTTGCATCCTATCCACGATGTACTCCCGGTCTGCCGCGTTTGAATCCGAGTATGTACTCTCCTCAAACTTGGCTACTATCTCCTTGACAAACCCCTGCTGCAGCTCATAGCGCTTCCTGTCCTCCTCCGAAACGGTGTCCTTGTTCTTCTCCATCCATCCAGGGAACTTATCGTTCAGCTCCTTCATGGGCTCGTACAGGATGTCCTTGTTAGTCAGCTGCTCCATCATGCCCAGGAGCATCTTGGAGAACTCCTCCTCGCTCCCCTCGACGCCGCCCTCTCCCAGGCCGCCCGCCTGCATCTGCTTCAGAAGCTCCGCCATGAAGTCGTCCGACCCTTCACTCTGGGCAGCGGCAGTGGCCTGGTCGCCCGAGGTCTGCATGCGCTCCATCGTGCGGCGGATCGTGTCCTGGAACGAGGCATCCGCCCCACTGGACGATGATGCCTGCGGATTCGCGGCGGACCCTGTGCCCGGCGCCGCGCCGCTTGACGAGGCTTCGCCGGTGGTAGTAGCTGCTGCTGCGGCGCCGAGTTCCTTGAATATGCTCTCGAACTGGGCTTGCATCTCCGGCTTGGCAATGTCAGTATCGCAAGGTCCCCATGACGCAGACTGGATCAGCGTACCGAGTTCTCCATCTCCCCCATTAACTCGGCCATTCCAGCCTGGAGTTGCTTCGCAAAGTCGTCATCGGAGAGGACGTCATCCTCGGCCGCTGCGGCTTTCTCTTTTGTAGCTGGAGCTGATGTCGTCGAAGGCCTGCCCGGCCCAGTAGCCGATGCCTCGGGCTGTTTTGACTCAATTTTGACCGCAGAGAAGTCATCCAGCATATCTGTGTTTCGTAGGTCAGACACATCGGGATCCTCCCAAAAGGCTCATTATCACATGCCATCGAGGTCGTCCAGATCGTCCTCATCGGGATCCGGCACATCGCCCACATCTTCCAGGTTCGCTTCCTGTGCTGCCTTAGAGGCCTCCTTTGAGGCCTCTATGTCGCCGGGCTTAGTTGCCATCTTCCCGTGCTGCCAAGTCCGGAATGGAGGCTCTCGTTTGGGGGAGGGGCGTTGATCAATGAGAAGTAGTGACTGAGGGGCAACTGATTCAGCTATCGTCGCAGCTCCAGTTCTTCGCTTTGATGCCGGTCTCTTTGATCTTTGAGCGCTGATGTGAAAGCTACAGGTGAAAGAGAAGAAATGAATAGCTTGATATAAGACAAGTGTAAAATGAGAAGATGCTAAAGAAAATACCCGAATACCTAGGCTGCTAGCAGGTGTGTGAAGGCAGTCGATCAATGCCGAGGAAGTTCACTCAGTCTTGATCCAATAGGTCTTACCCAGCGGCAGTGGCAGGGTTCCACTCAAAAGGCCAATCCCCGCAATCGGTGCAGTGGCACAGTGGGGCAAAAGGTCCAGGGTTCTAGGCTAAAGATCGCCTATAGGGCCTTCCGCCTTCTCTTTCAGGGGTGTACTGCAACCTTGTGGGTGCCGTTTTCTGCCTAATCCTTGTCAAGGGTGGGCGCTTTCGGTTGAACATCTTCGAGGGCGAGGGACGAACCACCAGAGCCTCACTTCTAGATTCACACTCCACACTTCCGCTCTCTACCACCAGGCTTCCTGGTTTCACCTGGCCTTTGTCCCGTCCAGGAAGCATCCCAAGGTGCTAGACTGCCAGCTTTTTCCCTTCTGCCCATCTGGATAAATCGCCCCTTCCATTGCACCTCGGAGATTCTGGTGTGACAGCTTCGCTCAACCAACTGCCGCCACCCAACGCTGTGAACCCGCGACTTCCGAAGATCTTCATCGTCGATTTTGTGCGCCGACATCCCTATCCATTGCGCAAACCAGCACCCTGTTGCAGACATGTCTTTGTGTATGAATCGCCTCCAGGAGGAGCGGTACGTGCGACGAAGAGCTTCAGAACACAATGTGCATGTGCAAACAGGCTGACGAGATAGCTGAAAAGAAAGCTCTGGCGGCGCGATCACCCTTTTGGATTCTACGCGCGACCAACGCGCAACAGTGAGGGCATCTTGGATCTCAAGAACTGGGAGTGCGGTATACCTGGCAAGGAGAAGACTATTTGGGAGGGGGGCCAGTTCAAACTGACCGTGCAGTTCCCTGACGGTAACTTGCCCAACCCAATGAGACTGGAAGATCAGAGTGCTGACCCTCGACTTGTTTACGTACTCAGAGTACCCAACGAAGCCTCCCAAGTGTAAGCCGAATATTACCGAAGCATGACTTCGAGGGGGATACGAAAGACTAACGAGATGGACAGGCAAATTCGTCCCACCTCTGTTCCACCCGAATGTCTACCCAAGTGGCACCGTCTGCCTGTCCATTCTGAACGAGGAGGAGGCCTGGAAGCCAGCCATCACTGTCAAGCAGATCCTCATCGGCGTTCAGGACCTCCTTAACGACCCCAACCCCGAGTCGCCTGCGCAGGCAGACGCCTACAACCTGTTCAAGAAAGACCGGGCGGAGTACGAGCGCCGGGTCAAGCGGGTGGTGCGCGACAACCCAGCCCCTTGAGAGGCGATGGCTTGAATGCGCTGCTTGGACTTCCCCACTTGATTGTGTGCTTTCGCAGGATTTTTCGGAGTTCTAGGAAGGGCGGATACCAGGCAGGGTCGGCCCAGGTGATTCATTTACAAGGAGTTTTGAGATTTGATGTCGTTGCGCAACTGCGCAGCATCTTTGCGAGGGCAAGGGGCTGAATTAAATCAACGAAGACACGATCACCATGCGATCAGCAGTACGAGATCAACGTTGTTGCATCGCGTGGGGTGAAAACGTGCATGATTATACGTTGTCAAGAATCACCTCCGCTGATTACATCCTCGCATGTGTCCTCGACATGTGGCCGAGAGAGCTGCCCATCCAGACCCAGCTTTGGCCATGTCTTTCGGAGGGTGAACTGCAGCCGTCACTGACGACGTGCCATCTCTCATTAGGTGGATCGCTGAGACTTGGAGCAGTGCCTTTTTCATAGACTGCAGCATTCAGTATAAACCCTGGATTTTGAGGACGTCGACCTGCACTTCTCCTGCTCTACTTAAAAATGACCGCGATGCCCTGGAGCTAGATAGATGCATGGGGCATGCAAACTTTTAGAGTGCGCTGCCTCGCCAGATCACGCACCCATTTTTACGTATGGTCTAGCTAAATAAGTAATTATCCGTGGCACTGGAAGGTAGGCGGTTTGGGGATGCCGCTGGCGTTGTTTGAGGCACACGGAATGTGTGTAATTCAGGGAGCGTGGCACTGTCTCAGGGGCCTAGATAAGCGTTGGACCAGTACCTAGGTAGATGACTCTTTCAGACCTCGCCCGAGATCGGAACCAGCTCGCCCAAGCTCTGACCAAAATTAAATCACGGGCGTTACGTTTCGCATGGGGCCTCGCGGTGGGCTGTATCAGGACATTTTATCAAATCGAATCTCGCTGACCTCTGACTCAACTGACGTCTCTGCTACTGGATAGATAGACCCGTTGCTCGACCTGGCTAATTGTTTCTCACCTCCCACATTCTTCTTCAACAATTCTTACTGCCGTCCTGATCGCCATTCCCCTTCCCTTCGCTCTTCTCTCCCGTATACCCAGAGCCGAGACAACCTTCAGTCACAATGTGTGGTATATTCGCATGTCATAGGTACGAATCTCCACCCTTCCCGCGTCAATTGCTTGGGGCGATCTCCCTTGGAGGGGCAGCTTTGAGCCCCACCATCGCGATGAATTATCGCGGACTGAGCTCGACTGACAGCATGCGCGCGCAGACACCCCGAGGTGCAAAAGTTCAAACCGACTGCATTGAAACTCTCAAAAGCGTATGTACTACCGATTCTAGTTGAGGGGCAGCTCAATTGACTTTATCGCTGCAGAATCCGGCACAGAGGACCCGATTGGAGTAAGAAATGGGTCACACGGACTTTTGCGCGATTGCGCGACGCAGCAAACTGACATTGGTGACTCTACAGGCGGCAGCATTATCTGCAAGGACACCAGTATGGATACCCGATATGTATATGCAGTATAACGAGTAGCGCAAGCTTTGCTGACCTCTTGCGACAGTCTTGTGCCATGAACGTCTGAGTATCGTGGGCGTCGGTACGTTGCGCTCCCACCGCCTTCGAAAGAATCCGGACTGACACATAGTCAGAGAGCGGTGCCCAGCCCTTGACCAACGCCGATGACAGCATCATCCTCGCCGTCAATGGCGAGATCTACAACCACAGGTTAATCCGAAAAACCCTCAAGACACCATATCACTTCAAGACGCACTCCGACTGCGAGGTCGTCATTCCTCTGGTTGGTACACACTCAACCTGGTCAGGAGCGAGACGAAGAGGCTGATCGCCCCACAGTACATGGAATATGGCCTCGACGCCCCCAAGTACCTCGATGGCATGTTCTCGTTCGTGCTGTACGACAAGAAGCTCGACCGCACGATAGCTGCCCGCGACCCTATCGGCATTACCACACTGTACCAGGGCTGGTCGTCGAAGGAGCCCGGCACGGTCTACTTCGGCTCTGAGCTCAAGTGCCTGCACCCAGTATGTGACAAGGTCGAGGCCTTCCCCCCCGGGCATATCTACGACAGCCAGACCGGCAAGACGACGAGATACTTCGAGCCAAACTGGTGGGACGGCTCGAAGGTGCCACAGAAGCCTGTGGACCTGAAGCTGCTGCGTGAGAGCCTGGAGAAGTCGGTCCGAAAACGACTCATGGCTGAGGTCCCATACGGTGTTCTCCTGTCAGGAGGTCTGGACTCGAGTCTTGTCGCATCAATTGCACAGCGCGAGACGATACGCCTCAAGAAGGCTGCTCTGGAGGCCAACGGCGGCGCGGAGCCCCAGTCTGGAGACGAGGACAAGGGCGAGGGGCTTGTGGGTATCGACGACGAGAACAAGTTGTCGACCGTCACGTACCTGCCTCAGCTCAACTCCTTCTCCATCGGTCTGCCAGGCTCGCCTGACAACGAGGCGGCCCTCAAGGTGGCCAAGTTCCTTGGAACAAAACATCACGTCATGACGTTCACCATTGAGGATGGTCTCAACGCATTGTCGGATGTCATCTATCATCTCGAGACTTACGATGTGACGACCATCCGCGCATCGACACCCATGTACCTCTTGTCCCGCAAGATCAAGGCCATGGGCATCAAGATGGTGCTCAGTGGAGAGGGCAGCGACGAGATCTTTGGTGGTTACCTGTATTTCGGACACGCCCCCGACAAGGAGTCCTTCCACGACGAGTGTGTCCGCCGTGTCAAGGCTCTGCATCTGGCCGACTGTCTCCGGGCCAACAAGTCCACCTCGGCGTGGGGTCTTGAGGCGCGAGTGCCATTCCTGGACAAGGAGGTATGTGAATAACCTGGGCGCATCACCCGTCAATGCATACTGACCACCTTCAAAGTTCCTCGAGACCTCCATGGCCATTGACCCCGCGGACAAGATGATCACCAAGGATCGCATGGAGAAGTACATCCTGCGCAAGGCTTTCGACACATCTGCCGAGCCCGACAACGAGCCATACCTCCCCGACGAGATCCTCTGGCGGCAGAAGGAGCAGTTCTCCGACGGTGTGGGCTACGGGTGGATTGACGCGCTCAAGGACAACGCTGAGCTGCATGTCACGGATGAGATGATGAAGAACCCCAAGCCTGAGTGGGGCAGTGACATCCCCGACACGAAGGAGGCCTACTGGTACCGCTGCATGTTCGACGAGCACTTCCCCCCAAGCTGCGCGTCGACCGTGATGCGGTGGGTGCCGAAGTGGGTGAAGCAGACTGATCCCAGTGGACGGTGAGTACGACCCCGGTCTGTGATATCTGTCTGTGTTGCTAATCTGTGTAATCAGTGCGATTGCTTCTCATCAGCAGAAGTACGACCATGTTGAGTAAGGGGGCGCACAGTAATGCGAGACTCGAGGCGCGTTGCAGTGAGATTTTGTGAGGAAAATATGGTCCAGGGATGGAATAGAAGATAGACTACCAGGGAATCTGATACCACAAATGACCACGTGTGAAAATTCCGTAGACATGGCTGTTGGCCTTCTTTCTTTCCCACGAATAGACATCGAATGCCGTCCAAGAACAAATGAGGTAATTGGTGATGGCGCCGTTCTGGCTTCTGCTGCTGAACTCGCCTACTATACCAACAGTCTGAGTCAGTATGGAATGCTGAATACAAGAGTTTACCATGTTTTGTAGGCATTTGCATGAATCGGAGTCATCGCCCATGCATGAAGACCCATTCAAATGCGCTGGTGCAGCACGTGGTTGTAGTTGTGTCAATGCAGCAGGGGGGGGGGGCTGAGGTCTTTGTTCTGCTCCCTGAGTCTGCGACCTTTCCATACAGCAATGGTCTGGTCAGCCCGGCCCCCTGTCTCATGGGGCCTGGTCGGCTCAAACCGGCCAATGGCTCCGGCGCGGGAATCAAATTTCGCGGTTGTCAGTCGCAGCTACCGAGCTTCAGCCAGCTCAACAAACAAAGCCTTGTCACCTCCGCCATCAGCAAGACTGACTTTCAACATCTTCGAAAGCAACTCTTCAGCTGCTCTACCCAGTTTTTCGTCTTTTCAATCCCAAGGCCCTCCCTCTTCGTTCCTCCCCACCGACCAAAATGTCTATCCCAGCTTTCTCCGACATCTCCAAGTCGGCCAACGACGTAAGTTCGGCTGCTCCACAACCTTCCCCTGCTTTCGCACACTCGCCTTGACGAGGGCATGAGCTGGGTAAGGCCAATTCGCGCAAGGCATTCCTGCTAACATTTCCTGTCCCTTCTAGTTGCTCAACAAGGACTTCTATCACCTGTCTGCCGGTACCATCGAGGTCAAGAGCAACACCCCCAACAATGTTGCCTTCAAGGTGACTGGCAAGAGCAGCCACGACAAGGCCACCTCTGGCGCGGTACGCTTAGCCTCCGGCCCCATCAGTTTCGTCAAGAACATGCGACAGAACCAGTTGCGTTGGAGACACAAATGTAACGTAACCTGGCGGCTGACTTGACCTTCTTCGCCGGACCAACAGATCGAGGGAAAGTTCTCGGACAAGGCAAACGGTACTTCCAACCTCCCGCAACATCAGCGCGTCCTCCCCCGTGCAGGGCCACCTCTCTGGGGCAAACTCGAGCTGTTTGGCGCCGCGTACCGATAGTACCGCTACCCGGTCCACTTCGGCACCGTGCTTGTCCCTGGTTTTCAACTTCTGCTGATTAAGATTGGGCAACGACCAGGCATCACCGTCACCCAGACGTGGAACACCCTCAACGCCCTCGACACCAAGGTCGAGGCCGCCGACAACCTCGCCAAGGGCCTGAAGCTCGAGGGTGCCTTCTCCTTCCTGCCCCAGTCGCAGAAGAAGGGCGCCAAGTTCAACCTGTACTTCAAGCAGCCCAAGTTCCACTTCCGTGGCTTCTTCGACCTGCTCAAGGGCCCCACCGCCAACGTTGACGCCGTCGTCGGCCACGAGGGCTTCCTGGCTGGTGCCTCCGCCGGTTTCGACGTCCAGAACGCCAACATCACCACCTTCGCCGCCGCCGTCGGTTTCGCCCACCCCACCTACACCGCCGCCATCACCGCCTCCGACAAGTGCAGCGTCTTCGCCGCTTCCTACTACCACAAGGTCAACCCCCTGGTTGAGGCCGGTGCCAAGGCTCAGTGGGACTCCAAGACTCCTGGTAGCGCCGTCGGTCTCGAGGTTGCCACCAAGTACCGCATCGACCCCGTCTCTTTCGTCAAGGTTTGTTGCGGTCGAGATTCATATCAATGGGAGATCTGATGCTGATGACCATGATTACAGGGCAAGATCAACGACCGCGGTGTCACCGCCATTGCCTACAACGTCCTCCTCCGCCCTGGTGTCACTCTCGGCATCGGTGCCTCTTTCGATACCCAGAAGCTTGACCAGGCCACCCACAAGGTGCGTATTCTTCTCTTGGAGCATGAAACTGGCCATGTCGATCCATGCTAACCTCGATGTCACAGGTCGGTGCTAGCTTCACCTTCGAGGGTTAAATGCGAAATCTAGAAGCAGGGAGGTCTTGGGCCCTTAACCCGTCCGAATGCGATTCTTTCAGAGTTTTGGATGGATGGCATACTCTTCCTCTAGACTTTGAAACCCCCATGTATACCAATTTGCAGCTTAGAAAACCAGCATTCGGGTGTAAATGTCATCTCGGAGGTGTAGATTAGAATAATACACCCATGCAAAACGCATTTCACATCGACACGGTGTATTTATCTAGGTAGCACTCTAAAGATAAGGTCTGTCCTCGTCTATCAGACACGACAACAAGCATCCGCAGTTGGGCGACGTAGGCTCAAAGGCCCGGGTATCAATCTATGTACCTTCCTACCCTCTCAACAATCATCCCGCGGCGGCCTTCATTCATCCTCTTATCCCTGGGCCTTCTTCCGCTTCTTCTCCTGCGTGCGGTTCCAGCCCCTCATGATGAGGTAAGGCAGCCCGACCGCGACGCCCAGCACAGCCAGCACGGCGAAGAAGCTCCCCACCTCCCCGTAGTCGCCCGACGCGGACGGGAACCGGGGCTTCTTGGCGGCGTTGCGCGCCAGGATCTCGTCGACCCGGCCCTGCGTCCGTGTGTGCGCCGCCTTGGCCGTCCGGTCGAAGTGCGGCATGTCACCGCTGCTCCCACCAAAGGGCTCCTGGCCCGGGCCCGCCGCGCCGCCGAAATTGCCGAACCCTTGCGCGCCCGACGCTGAATGCTGCTGCTGGTGGTGGTGATGGTGATGGTGATGGTGATGATGGCCGTGGTGGTGGTTGCCGCTGCTACTACTACTGCCCGTGCCGCTCGTCGACTCCTCGTGCGCCTGGCTCCTCTTGGCGCCGTGCGCGCCCCAGCCACCGCTGCGGTAGAAGCTGGGCGGCGGGCCGCGGAAGGTCCCTCGCCTCCTCGACAGGCCCGAGGCCGGCCTCCCGCCCGCCGGGCCGGTGCTGCTGTAGCTGCCGCCGCGGTGGTGCTGTGGCGACCCGGCGTCGGCGCGCTGGTCGTGCAGGCGCAGGACGTCGCGGTCGTACTTTGCGCGGCGGTCGGTGTGGGAGAGCACGCTATAGGCCTCGCTGATGCGCATGAAGCGCTTGGAGGCTAGGGGGTCGTCCCGGTTGTGGTCCGGGTGGTGGGTCTTGGAGAGGTGGTAGAAGGACCGCTTGATGTCCTTGGGGGACGCGCTGGTCTGGACCCCGAGGGTCTCGTAGTGGTTCTTGCTGTCGATGTCATCGCGGCGCAGGGCCCGGGTGCTGTGGAAGAAGCAGGAGAGGGTGCCGGGTGGTGGTCGCGTGCGGCGGTCTGCTGCGGCGGCGAGGTGCGCGGCCGCTGCTGCACGGAACGGGGCGATGCGGAGTGGCATTCCTCATCCCGACCTCGCTGGCTAGCTAAAGCCAATATCTGGAAGTCCGGCAGAGCTCAGGATGAGCCCATTGAAGAATTGGTGTCAGGGAAGAGGGCGTGAAATACTGGATCGTGGGGTAGGATATAGGTAGTCCATAGAGCGCGTCCCCGTGTAAAGGCTGTAAGAAGTAAGAAGTAGTGACGACATCGGAGTAGCGAAATGGTACGGCATTGGCTTCGCTTAGCTGCGGTGCTTTTCGCAAAACTACGGTAAAATACGCCCGCTTGCAGCTCAAGCGCGCGCCCTTCCATATAAACATTTCTCGACTCAGTGGGGTGGGTTTTTCTCACATCCAAGTCTGAGGTAGCCTGATCTCACTTCCTGCTTTTTCCCAGAAAGGCAGAAGAAAAATGGCGGCTCAGGCTCCTACAGAAGAGCTGGACAAGCTCACAGGTAATTTCCCCAAGAGATTGCAGATTGGCCGCTGTCTTCAGGTGGTCTGACGAAAATTACAGTCAAGGACGCCGCCGGCGCGAATGGCAAGGCTACCACCAAAGCCGCAACTCAGGGTGATGCCGCCAACCAGGATAGTGACGGCTCGGATGACGAGGCAGACGAAGGCGCCGCCGATCCCCAAGTAGAGGGCGAGGGCGCAGCCAAGAAGAAGAAGAAGAAGAACAAGAAAAAGAAGAAGAAGAAGAAGGCCACAGCCCAGTCCGACCCTCCACGAGTCCTCCTGTCGCAGCTGTTCCCCAACGGCACCTACCCTAAGGGCGAGGAGGTCAAGTACATCGGGGAGGAGAACCTCAAGCGTACGACCGACGCAGAGGTGCGGGAGCGCGAGCGGCTGCTCATGAATGATGACTTCCTGCGGGACTACAGACACGGCGCCGAGACGCACCGGCAGGTGCGGCAGTGGGCGCAGAAGTGGATCCAGCCTGGCATGGGGCTCACCGAGATCGCCAACGGCATCGAGGACAGCGTGCGGGCGTTGGTAGGCCACTCGGGCCTGGAGGAGGGCGACGCCATCGTGGCGGGCATGGGCTTCCCGACCGGCCTGAACCTGAACGACATCGCGGCGCACTACTCGCCCAACGCGATCAACAACAAGGTGTTTGGGCAGGACGACGTCATGAAGATCGATATCGGCGTGCACGTCAACGGCCGCATCGTGGACAGTGCCTTCACCATGGCGTTCGACCACAAGTACGACAACCTGCTGGATGCCGTCAAGGCGGCCACCAACACGGGCGTCATGGAGGCGGGCATCGACGCCCGGCTCGGCGAGATCGGCGGGGCCATCCAGGAGACGATGGAGAGCTACGAAATCGAACTGGGCGGCAAGACGTACCCTATCAAGTCGATCCGCAACCTGAACGGGCACACGATACACCACTACAGCATCCACGGCGACAAGAGCGTGCCCATTGTCAAGACCGAGGACCAGACCAAGATGGAGGAGGGCGACGTGTTCGCCATTGAGACGTTCGGCAGCACCGGCAACGGCTACGTGAGAGACCAGGGCGAGGTGTCGCACTATGCCCTGATGGCGGACGCGCCCAAGGCAGACCTGAGGCTATCTTCGGCCAGGTCACTGCTTAACACCATCAAGAAGAACTTCGGTACCCTGCCATTCTGCCGGCGGTACCTGGATCGCATTGGCTGCGACAAGTACCTCCTGGGGCTGAACAACCTTGTCAACACAGGCATCGTGCAGGACTACCCTCCCCTGGTTGACAAGAAGGGTTCCTACACGGCGCAGTTCGAACACGTGAGTGTTTCCAGTCTTCGCTTGTGACGATACTGTTGTACTGGACGCTGACATGCGATTAGACCATCTTGATCAAGCCAAGCTGCAAGGAGATCATCAGCCGGGGAGACGATTATTGATCTGCACTGGGATGGAGTTCGGAAACTGGGCTAGATAGCCCCATGCCCATGATGAATCAACGTTATAAACCCAACCAGGATAGGGTCTGCGCTGGCTGCTTCGCGGTGCCTCATATCCCTTTGTGGGCGATAAGGTTATCTTCTATATATTCGGACAACCCAACAGGGTGGCATAGTGAAGAGCCACAGGAAAGTCCCTTGGAAGGAACTGTGACCAGACTGTCCTGCTGCACGTGCAACTCTGCAGCACTGCCCGCTCGACTATCTTGATATCGTGTACTGTAAGCTGGCATACCTCGACCGCAATTGCCGATCGTTAGATGGCATGCACATTCCATGCACTACTTGTAACGTCATGCTCGTACTCGACAGCCGAGTAGCAAGTGTGTGCTGCTGGTGAAGACAGCAGATGCCGGTACGGTACAGCGTAGACGGCCGACTGCAGGGACGAGACGTCAGGAAACGCGGATATGACAGCATACATCCGTTGAAAGAAATGGAACGATCTCGAATCGACGTCGATGTTTTTGTCGTGTGCCCCTGTTCGCGACGTTCCGGCGGGCCGATCGCGCTCATCATTCGCTCAGGTGCATCATATGCATGGTTCGCGGAGCCGGTATGACCCGCAAAAACAAAGGGATCTTCTCTATTGCCTGGCTAGCAGATCGCCACGGGGCTGACGTGGTAGACTGTTAGGTTCGTGTTTGTCACAGACCGGCTCCCCGCCGTCTCCGCTCCGCCGTCGGTTCGTCCCCCCCTTGCACTCTTTGTCGACCCCAGCTTCTTGGGGGTCAACCGGCGCCTCCTGGTTGGCTGGATAGCGCCTGGCTTCCGATCTGCTTTCGTCGCCCTTTCGCCGCCGCCAGAATTTTCGAAACTCTAATCAGCGGCCCCATTAAAAACGCGCACCCTGCTCGCTCTCCGCTATCTTTTGCCGACCTGTGAAAATCTTCCCTCTCTCAGTCACACACCCACAACAAGGCTTGGACTGCCGTTACTTTCCTTTCAACCTTTCACATCTCGAGTCGTTTTCATAGACGTTGATTTCCTACAAAGAGTCGACCCAGACAACAAGAAAAAAAAAAGACAAGACACAAGCAGATCCACCAAAACCCGACGTCCGCCGAGAGGCACAACAAGCGAATACCGAAGACATCCGGTCTCGCCAACAGAGGTCACAAGAGACTCAGTTCTCGACTATCGTCGCTCGAAACACCACTCTTCAAACCTTTCAAGCCTCCGTATTCCAAGATGAAGGTCTTCTCCAGCTCACACACCTTCAACTACTCCTGGGAGGAGGTGACAACCGCCAACTGGCGCAAGTACTGCCCCTGGAACGAGCAATCCACCCACGTCGTCGCAGTCGACACCCTCGCCCGCTCCGTCGAGCCATCAACAGGCATCCTCCGCACGGAGCGTCTCATCACCTGCAAGCAGTCAGCGCCGGAATGGATGAAGTCCATTGTCGGCGCCGGCGACGTCAGCCAGGTGTTTGAGACCTCCTACGTCGACCCGGCCCACAAGACGGTCACCATGGTGTCCTGGAACCTGACCTGGGCCAACCTCATCAACTGCCAGGAGACGGTCGTCTACAAGCCCATGGGCGACCACCAGACCCAGTTCGCCCAGGAGGCCAAGATCACCGCGCTGTGCGGCGGCTGGCAGCGCATCAAGAACAAGATCGAGGACTTCTCCGTCAACCGCTTCAGGGACAACGCGATCAAGGGCAAGGAGGGCTTCGAGGCCGTGCTGGCGATGAGCAGGCGGGTGTTTGCCGAGGAGAGGGAAAAGGAGAAGATGAAGATGGCCCTGGCTGCCTAGGTTGCGGCTATCTCCCCTCCTGCTCCTGGGCATCATACACCCACACAGACACAGACACCCGAGCACCACCACCACCACCGTGGTGCTACGACCTGCACATGCAACACACGACCTTGAGACATTCAGCATAGCGTTGGCTTTTGACACCACAAAAAGGGCGAAGACGGGTTAGATTTCGGCAAAAGGAGTATTTGGTTGTTTTTAGATTGCGGCGTTCCGGACACCTCCATTTGAGTGGGGTTTGATTATACGCTCGTGATCGCCAGGAGGCTTGATCTCACAATAGACCACGAAAGACACTTAGTCATAATCACAAGAAATGACTCCTACTCAATCTACACAGTCGACCATGCTGATTCGACGTGCGTGACCAACAGGACCGTATCATAGCGTTCCACGACGTAGACGGTATGAATCACGTAGATGCGCTGTATCGTGCCAGGCATAGGTCTCTACCGACCAAGCTTCTTATTGCACTTCCTTTTGTAGGTTCTCAGCAAGTCCCTTACGTCCCCATCAAGCCCGTTCCCGCCGCCCTCACCCTTAAAGATCCTCCCGACGAGCGAGACAGCCTCCTCGAACCTCCGGAAGAAGTACAGTTCTTCCACGGCGTGCAGCAGCTCCTGGCCCTCGTGCTTCGGTACCCTGCGCGTGCCAAGCGGGACATCCACGGACTTCCATACCTGGAAGGGATTTCTCATCGTCAGGGCTTCTTGTTCATTCCCTCCTCGCAGCTCGAAAGACTAAAGCAGAAACACCACCCTCATCAGAAAATCACTGCTTGCTTGCTAACTCACCTCGCCGTTCTCGACCTTGGCCCGGTACCCGCTCTTCACGGCCCGGAACGCAGCCTCGGACTGGCCGGTGCGTTGCTCCCGGCTCTTCTTGGAGGAGCTCGCGATGCCGTGGCTCGTGTCGATGCCGCCGTCTTCGCCTTCCTCCGAGTCGGAAATGGAGATGTTGAAGAGGCCGCCCAGCTCGTTGTCCGCCCCATCTTGGGCCATCTTCTTTTCTTTTTCTTCTTTTCCTTCCCGGGCGCCCTCGCGCAGTCGCCGCGCTGGGTTAGGCGGGGGGGGGGCAGCAAGATGGTGAGTGGGTGGCCGCGACCTTGCAAAATCCGGTATTCAGGGAGGTGGCTGTAATTTTGTGGAAACAATACAGACGGTGTGGGAAGTTGGATCTGGGATCCCGTCAGTCCAATCTCGGTAGGGCTGCAGGCGTTGACATCAGTGTGCAGGCAGGCAGGCCCAGGAAAGTGGACGAAAGGGCGTTAAATCGCAAGGTTTGGGTCCCAAAAGGGTCCTATTTTAGGTGGGGCTCTTGGTGAGTTGGTGGTGATGCAAGTCCATGGGAAGAACTTCCAGTGTGGCGGCTGCGCCCCTCCGCCTCCTCACCTCGACCTGCTCCTACAAACAAGCTCCTCAACTCCACTTGTGATTATTTTGTTTTGAGTATATTCGGCCTCATAGACTGCATCACACCAATCCGAGTTTGGTGACAGGCGGACATGGATAGCCAGGTTGAACGGCTCGTGGAGAAGGCCTGGGACAAGTTCCTGCCACTGCCCCCGGATCGGCGACTCAGTGAGTAAACATTGTGATTTGATCGAGTTGGTAGGGGAATCAGGGGCTACACCGCAGGAGAGGGAGACTGCAGGAACGCAAACAGTTCGTGATGGTTGCAGCTTGTAACAACCCATGGAAACCTGAGTAACACGGCTCAAGCGAGCGCAGGAAATGGGATGCCCTCGCGACTAGGCATGCATCTAAAGCGTAATGGCTAATACAGTGAATAACAGTGATTGGAATCGGCGGAATCCCAGGCTCAGGTCAGTCAAGTAGCGATCCCAGCTTCCCGGAGAGAGGGACAGTCGCCCCAGGGCAGTCCTGGGTGCCCGGTGATGCCCGGTCAAGCAAGCTCTCACACACCGGAACCATCCAGGCAAGACGACGCTCTCCCAGATGGTGACCACGGCCCTCAACGCCAGGCACGCAAGGCTGGAGCCCTCGCACGCATCGTACAGCCCGAGCCCGGTAGCCGCCTTCGTGCCCATGGACGGCTTCCACCTGACGCGCGCCCAGCTGTCCGCCATGCCAGACCCGGCGACGGCCCACGCCCGGCGCGGCGCAGAGTTCACCTTCGACGGCGCCTCCTTCCTGAAGCTGATCCAGGCCCTGCGCGAGCCGCTCCCCGTGCCCGCGCCCCCGGCCCCGCTGGACCTGCCGGAGCGGCCGGAGGACTACCCGCAGGGGACCGTCTTCGCCCCCTCGTTCGACCACGCCGTCAAGGACCCCAAGGACGCCGACATCGCCGTCCTGCCCTCGCACCGCATCGTCGTCTTCGAGGGCAACTACGTCGCGCTGGACAAGGAGCCCTGGTCCTCGGCCGCCCGCCTCATGGACGAGGTCTGGTTCGTCGACGTCGACTTCGCCGTCGCCCGCCGCCGCCTCGTCGCCCGCCACGTCAAGGCCGGCATCGCCGCCGACGAGGCCGAGGCAGACAGGCGCGCTGTCGAGAACGACCTGCCCAACGGGGACGAGATCGTTGGGAAGCGGTTGCCCGTCGACGAGGTCATCGTCTCGAGGGAGGACACGGCGTGGGAGCATGAGTGAATGACTGGGGCTGGAGTATTAACACGGTGTTGTGACTTGCCAGGGAGGGGCCTCATTTGGACACGAGTGCTCGGTCTGGAAGACGAGTGCCCGTTGTCCAGTATCCTCTGCCAGAACAGTCTGCGCGACGAGCGACACGGGCAATATATAGATGGCTGTTGACGGACTTAGCACGGCACAGTCCAGGTGCTCCCGCCGCTGATGCTCGTTCAGGCCAAATTTACTGTCGGTTACAACTGAAGACACAGTAGTGGCATCTCGGCAGGCTCAGGGACATTCTCACTGCGATCACGGCCTGGTTTTTTGTGGGCTGCGAGAAATCTGTCAACCTGACGATTCAATACTTGAACATTCAAGCATTCAACGAGCTGGAGATGATGACGGCTACCAAGTATAAGTTGCCATTCACTACCTAGCGTAAGGCGATTCCAAGTCCATCGGCTGGAACTATGTGGGATGCCACTATTAGCCAGACCAGGCTCCTCGATCCAGAGTTCTTTTTCTACATTAACCACAGACAACAATACGATTGCTTCCCATCAGCGAAAGATCCCCAGAAATGTCTCAAGCCTGTGACACCAATACCGGGATCCAACAAAAGTCAAGAATGATCTTCCCCGATCGGTTACTGGCGACCAACGCTTCGACACCAGCCACTACGATCGTCCCCCTCATCCCAAACACGTTCGCCAACATCGGCCCAGGTCTTCAACATGCAGCATCACTAAGTGGGTAGTCCGTCGTCGAAGTGGACTCGTGCAAACCGGTCCGCAATCTCGGCGACCTCGGGGTCGTTGGCACGGATAACCTCGAAGTCCTCGACTCGATCAATTAACATCAAATCTTCCAGGTGAGATTTGTTCTTTGAGAGCGCACCGGTGAACTGACCCGCGCTCTGTCCAAGTAGATCCACACCGTTCTTGTTGTGTCTCGAAGAGTTCAGTCCGTTCATCTCGCCATGAATGGAGATGAGAGGCTCCTCAGGATGAGGCATCTCGACCGGAGCAGTCACTGTGACCCTAGGTGGGTGGGTTGGTAGGGCTGGTGCAGCATGTACTGAACCAGCGTCAGAGTTGCGACCGCCAACGTTTTGCGCACGAGCTGGAGAGACATGACCATCAAGCTTAGTTCCTGCCCTCGGGCAATTCATGTGTGTAGTCCGAGGAGTTGCGCGCCCTGAGACCTGGGGCGCCTGCAATGGTAGGGAGGTGCCGGGAAGCCCATGAGCCTGCCGAATGATCTGCTCGATCAGGGCTCGATTCTCCGGATTCATCTCGGGCAGGTATCTCAGCTCTGTCAAGAACTCAGGTGGGTCGACGGCTGTGGACTCTAGATGCAATAGCTTCTGGATGGTGTACTTCGGCCGAGGACGCTTAGGAGGCGAGGTCTCTTGCACATCTGGGGACTTCTGAGTCTTGGGCTCAGTTGTCGATACAGCCTCCGTAGGCCCCTTCTTGGCTGCATCTTCAAGCATTCGCCGCTTGAATCTCTCGAATACCTGCGGGGCGCAGATATTATCGACATAAGCAACCCGTTCTTTAGAATCAAGGTCAGCGAATCCAGCATGCTTTTCCATCAAAACTGCAGCAGCCGCTCCTCGAATAATGCCAGGGAGTGCATCGGCATTCGCCAACTCCGCAGGGCCAGAATCTCTAACGAAAGCAACAATGTGCATAGCCCATGACACAATGTCCTCAAGAATCACCATAGAGATCGTCCTTAGGGTGTCTGGTTGCCGAGCTACTGTGCTCCGCGAAGTCGTCTCCGCGAGGGATTTGCCAGCCGTGGTGAGATCGTATGCAGTCTCGTTCGGCAGAACGGGGCTCTCGATGATCGGGGCCGAGATGTCATGCGGAGGCTCAACGGGCAGAGCTGAAGTATCGACGAGGGAAGGGCCCATATTTGGAGCAGCTGGGCTTGGGGATGGCTCTTTCAAGCGGCCGACGAACTTCCGAAGAGCATCCACGAAAGCAACCATGATATCCCGCTGGCGAAATATAACCACGAACCAGGTGATGTAGCCAACTTCGTCCTTGAATTGCAGGATTAGTCGGTCGGCATCGGAGAGGTAGTCAACGTATTCTTCTGTACGACGCTTCACATCCCCCACGCGATCCTCATCGATGTGGAGGATGATCTGATCCTCGTTCGTGGCAGGTCCAGCAACTAGGTAAATAGTCCCAGGGTACTCCGCAATTCGGTCGAGGAAGGCGGGTGACGCAAATGATACTGTTGCCTGGAACAATACAGAGTGTCCTTCAGGCAGTAAAAGGCACACAGTGGTCGACGGCACTTGGGCTTCCTCTTGTGGAGCACTGCTGACAGTGGGAACAGCTGCGGGTTGAGGCGGAGGTCGAGTTGCGTCCAAAGGTCGGGCGCGAAAGGGCAAGGCTTGGTCCGATCCATGAGCACTAGAAACAACGGATGGCAACATGTCATTCGTCGAGGACCTAGCAGGGCGCTGCGTGCTGGCATTTGACACAGGCGCAGGCTGAGGTGCATGCCGGCTGTTGCGCATCGCTCCGCGGAGCTCGACAGGGCCATCTCCCGTGTGAGCCAGGCCAGCCCGCGCAGGACCTCGCTCGCCTCGAAAGAATTGCGCTCGCGGGGCAACCTGGCCGTTGTGGTTTTGGCGAAGACGACGATCGTTGTAGTCGAAGCCTCGGTTGACAGCCATGTAGGAAAGGTCAGCAGCTCGACGCATACGAGCAAGCTGGCCATTCGCAAGCTCCCTCTGTCCTGCGACAACAGCGGCGTCATCGTCTTCGAAGGCGCCTCCGGCAATGGCTTGGTTCCATCTATTGTCCGTTCCGGTTCGGCCGCTCTCAATGCTGTTCATGGCAGCGACGTTACGAGGAACCCTGCCGGTGTCCTCCAAGGGGAGCTCATCGATACGGCCAGCACCGATGTCATCCTGTGGGTAGCCAGTTAGTTCTCAAACTTGTTGTGCGGGATAGTCCCGATGGTGAGGTATGGGGCTTCATACCAACATGGCCAGCTCGGCCGCACTAAGCTCACGTTTCTGCGCGTTTTTGGGTGCCATTGTCCCACGTTTCTTTTTCAAGTCTCTTATCGAATGTCCTGCTATCTGGAAGCATTAGCTTTATCTTTTTGAACCACGACTTTTGGGAGCCAGGTACGAAAAGGTAGGAGGGTATTGGAAGGACAGTGATTGTCAGGTGTCTGTTGGATGTGCAAGAATTGCCACAATGGACGGACTGCCAGCCCTCATTGTGCCAAAGGTATGCAGGAGATGCTTTGGGGACCACCCCAAGAAGCAAAGTGCCAATGTGTTGCTGGCTCAAAGGGTACAGAAGGTAGTAGGTGTCTTCAGTTTTGTTTGGGTGTGGGAGGGAAGGTACTGCGCTTTTGGGAGTGGGGCATACGGACTCGTCCTTGGAGGTGTGAGAAGAGATTGGTTGTGATGCCCAACTCTGATGGGTGCCTTTGTAAGGAGAACGAGGGGAGGAAATGGTGTGTCTTGGAACTGATGGTCGAACGAAAACACAAAGGCGTGGTAATGTGCTCGAGTTGGGAAGCTGCGACCTGGGGGAAAAAAGGTGGGAGGAATGAACAGGACTTACCTGGGCTGACGATGCTGCCTGTTGACCTGGGTCGTCAGAAGCTTCAACTGGGGTGCTCGACCACGGTAAGGGAGTCTTCTCGTGGGAAGGGATTCTCGTGACAAGGAGCCCTCTTGACGGTTGGGTTCTGTGTCAGAACAAGGGCAGTTGTGTCGTGTTGGTGCTTAACAATCGTGACACGGTCAGCAGAGGGTTCAGTGATGATGAATGAAGAAAGGAGATAGATCTTGTCCTGAACAAAGAGATCTTGGTGTGGGGAGAAAGTTGTGTCAAATGGGAAGGAGGGACTTGGTGTTCACCACCTGGGCAGTTTTGAAGTTGATGCTTGAGGCAAGTGGGTGGTTGCCTAGGTGCTGGTGTGGTTTCTATGTTGTGGAGCAAGCTTGGGAGCTGTTGCCAGTGTCAGGCTTTCTTATGCAGCGGCCTCACTGTAAGAAAGGGCTTCAGGTTGGCCTGGCAGCAAAACAACGGGACTCCAACCTGGCAGATGCCAGCCTGACAGCAGGGTATTAAAATGCCAGGTACTCAAGTGCTGCAGGCGAGCAAATTACCATCCATGGAAATGTGGGCTCCACTCTCCCTGGGCCTCTCATGGGCCTACACACAAGAACATTGAGTGATTTTGATCAGGGAACTACGCTGGGCTGTTCACACATCTTTGCTGCACAGCTAAGGAAGCCTTGTGGGCAACAAGATGTGGAGTGGGCTCAGGATCGTTCCTTCCTTTTAGGACTTGTTCACAAAGTTCTCAGCCTTCGCAAGACTGCTCCAATATCCGAACGCGAGCATGATCTTCTGACCGATCATATGGATAGACAGAGAAGATCAACACAAGAGAGGTTCTTCCAACTACGGTGCAGAGGGGTTTGCAGGTTTCTCAACCTGATATGAGAAACAGACAAAATAAGGAGAGGAGGTGTATATCACAATACTCTGGAGCATCTCTTTCTGACTTCAGTCGGAACTTTTTCATACCGTCGATCGCCAAGTATTCATCATGCTGGACTACCACGTCCCAGTACTGAATCAAGGCTTACTTTAGTCCATGCTTGCCAATATTTGCCTTGTTTGACACTCCAGGTATGTATGGGCAAGCTGAGTGCCAGCACATGTGCACATAATCATATTTAAAGTGACATTTCCACGATGATGAAATTCAAGCCCGGAGCCATATGAGTCCACCGACCCACTCAGGCCTTGGGTAGACATAAACAGCTCCAAGTCTCAGTCAACATTGTTGCTAAATCAAACTCGTATCACACCTTCGATCTAGGAATTGAGAAACATGAATCAACGCTTCAAATTATGCTCAAACTTGGGTCCAACCATAATTGTGATTTTATGTATAGTAGGTACATAGGTAAATAAGTTCTGCATTCCGTCATTGGGGAGGCCAGTCCGCTCAATGCTCAAATTGGTTTGACACTTGAGTCAGGCTTGGGGTTACATTCTGGAGAAGGGAAACAGCGGTGATTTTTAATCTCGCTCTAGTCCGACTCATCGCAATAACTGGTCTCGAAGACTTTGTGATACGTTTGAGTGCGAAGCGTGCTCTCAAGTAATTTGTTTCGTTAAACGAGTGGATACGGCACTCCCTTGTGGAAGTTCAACTCCGTTCACATGGTCAAATGGTGTACCCAGTTGTGCGTTGATAGTTACGGATATTCAATTGCTTTAAGGTCGCCAGAACCGAAGACACGTTTTGAAAAGTACATGATAGGAGACTTCCAGCAAACTTATCTGTCAAGCGGCTGTCGCCGACAGCGAGACTTCCGGTCTCAGCCTTCGGACCGCTTTACAAGTGTAGTATTACGCGGGACTAAAACACTTCCAGAGTGAAGAAGTCACGGACAATTCACGGAAGCAGAGAAAAGTGGTTGGTCAATGCAATGTATTCCATTTGACATGCCAAAGGCCGTCTCATCGTATGAGGTTCCTTGATGTGGCCAGACCCTCACGGCATGATCATGCTCGTGTCGTCATCCCATTCCATTAATGTCCCTCCCTTCCAGAGAACGCCAAACCACGAGAAATCAAGCTAAGCTCCGCTCTTGTTTGGGGGCGGGGGCGAAAGGGCTGTTTGGGGACAACCTATCGCGCGGCGGCATCCTTGGGGGGTCCGTCCAGATTGTCCTTGCCCTCACGGCCGATGTTGCTCATATCGGTCTCGCCTGACGACTTGGTGGCGGGCTCGCGCAGGCCGGCCGTGGAGCCGGCGCCGGTCGAGATGTCGCTCGCCACGTCGCGGCCGGAGCCAACGTTGACGTTGCGGGCGTCGGCAGAGTTCCAGTCAGATGCGACGGGCTGCTCGGGGAGAGGCAGGTTGGACTGAGCCTCGTTGATCTTGTCGGCCTTGGACTGAGTCATCTCTGCGCGGTGGTGTCAGCTCCTCGATTCTAATAATGTGGACTTGTTTGCGGGGTGCTCGATCGCGGGGGAGGAAAGGGACGGGCAACTGGCAGCTTACTGAGTGGTGGATGAGGCGTTGGTTGGCTGATTGAGAGTGTGATCTTGGGTAGATTGAATTGGTTGATTTGCGAGGATCGTTCTGACTTCTCCAGGAATTTTGTTTGATGATGATGAGGCAGAAGAAAGGACAAGCTGTTCTGGCCCGAAAGAAAAACGTCTTATAAGTAGATGGTGGTGTAGCGCTCAGCGAAACTACGTCACTCTACTACGCGCAGTTGACGTAAATGGTGGGTCACCCACTCGGGCCCCAGCCCAGAATTGCAGCCGCATCTTGCCCCACACGCCACCATCTACCAGAATCGGATGGAATCGTTGATGCCAGGAAATTGTCACACAGAGCTTGCGATGACACATGAGGCATAACCCGTGCAGGCCTCTGCCTGACCAAGATGGTAGGCTGCGGTTCGCAGAGGGGCGGGCCATCCCGAAACCATGAGAATCATTAGTCCTGGCATGGATCTTTCAGCCTGGTATCTTACCACAAACGCCCACCGGTCCAATGCACTCCAATGTCTCTCAGAAAGTCATATGCCAGCCGAACAACTCCGGATTTAATCCCTCATAAACGCCATTGGCCAAATATCAATCAATCTTGGTACCATCGCAGGGACCCACTATCTCTAGGCAACACGTCTGTCGGTTTCTGCCGAGGTGGCCTTTTCGCCCAGGTCGGGATTGAGATAATCTGCATTCTCGGCGGCTTCGTAGTCGGCAATCAAGTCGGCCACCACCTCTCGCGACTCGTCAAATTCGTTTAGGTTGTCTGAAAATGGGGCGGTTTTCTTGTATCCCTCCATGAATGCGTTGCGCTTTCGCATGCCATCGTACTGCCTGATGATCCTCTTGAAGAGCTGCATACCATGTTAGAATCACTTATCAGTAACTGCGACCAGATGTGTACGTACAGTTGCAATGCTTGTGTGGTTAGCCAACATGAGGCCACTCACGCGGTGGCTCATCGGGATGTAGGGGCTACGCTTTGTGAGAGCCACCTGTATACTGGCCGGGCCCCAGGGAATGAACTGCGCCAGCCTCCGCTCACGAATCCTGAGAAGACTCTTGTGCACATCTGTCGGGTCCACCTCGCCTTGAATGACGTTGAGGATGGAGATGTAGCAGCTCTTCTTGCCCGGTACGGTCGAGACCATCCGGTTCTTGGGCTGCAGCAGTCTCCGCATGACATCCAGTACCGTCGTCTTCCGCACTGTCTTGGCTTGCTCGACTTGGTCGCCCGTGAACGGAGTGTATGCGGTCATGAGGAAATGACAACGAGGTGTGGGAATCAGCGAGGCCAATATGCTGACGAGGTCGTTGTGCATGTAGCCCGGATACCGCAGTGTTGTCGTGCTAGCAGACATGACGGTTGAGACAAGCTGGTTGGTCTGCTGGAAAGACGGCGATTGCACGTGTAGTCTGTCGGCGGCGATGTGAGACAGAGCCCCGTTATCAAGGACCACTACCGAGTCGGCATTCTGCGTCAACCGCCTCATCGCCAGCATACTGTTGTAGGGATGCACAACGACATCTCCGGCAGTCGTCGTGTCTGGGAACACGGAGTATGTTTGGATGATCTTCTTGGGGAACCTGTCGTTCAACCGCTCGAGCAGAAAGGACCCCAGACCAGAACCTGTGCCGCCAGCGATGGAATGCAGCATCATGAAACCCTGTGCAGCATTTCAGCGACGACCTTCACACCTGGTACCATGGCTGGAGCCTACCTCGAGCGAGTCACTGCCGTCGGCCTCGCGGTCTATCATCTCCATGATATCCTCACACACGGTCTCGCCCGTCTGGTACCCATCGCCCCAGTTGTTTGCGGCGCCGACTCCATTCTTGCCAACGTAGAAGTTCTCAGGATTGTATATGTTCTTGAAAGGGCCAGTCTGTATTCCGTTGATGACGCGGGGTTCCAGGTCGATGAGGATGGCCCGTGGGATGTACCGTGTGTCGTCGCTTTGGTAGAAGAAGACGTCTTTCCGGTCACCGCCCTCGGTCGCGAAATCCTCGAGATTGCCATCCTGGCCGATTCCGTGTTCCTGACAAAGCTGCTGCCAGAATTGGCTGCCAACTGGGAGCCGTCAGCAACGGCCGGCGCTGAATGCCCATGGTGTAGTGGGCCAGACTCTGGGGTCAGTATGGCAGGATGAGTTACTGACTGCTGTTGCCGCATTGGCCTGCCTGAACCGTGATGATCTCCCTTCTTGGCGTCAGTAGAATTTCATCGTAGTCTGGGATGCGCGGGGGCTTACCTGGGCATGGTTGTCTGAATAACCTGGGTTTTTGCGCCAGTCGTGAATGTGGTGCATACCTCACTAGCACATCGCGTCTCGGTTTGACGCGAAGCGGCCCTCTTGTCGGTAACTGGAACCCCGGCCATCGATTGTTGCTCGGGGTCCGGGGTGGGCCCCAGCTCGAATTCTGGGTTAGGGTCGGAACTTTTTGTTGCTTTTGGGGGGGGGGGGGTTCCGCATCCTCAGGATTGTGGACAGGCTTGACTTGAATTTTCTCCAGTCCATGAGGTACATCAGATTTTTGTCTCATGTGCCAGGAAATATTTGCTCTATATGCTAGCGATTGTCTCATCGTTCGGATTTTCAATCCAGGTTGCAACGGTACACCGCGGACTTGTGCGTGGCACGAAACCATGCACGGAAAGCCAGACAGTTGCAGCTCGTTCGTGGGTCGCAGACTGGCACCAAGAGCCATCATCAGCTGCTGCTAAATATAATAAGGCTGTGCCGCAGGCCAAAAATACCAGCTATCGCTGGGCCACAAATAAGCTAGAGCACGACGGATGGACGGACCCGAGTTGGTGTGAGCCCAGACATGTTGTGGCTTGGCCATCAGATTATTCGGATCATCACCATTTCAGGGCTTAATGTGTTCAATCTCGAGAACTAGAGAGCGGTGGGGATTGGAGTGTCCTTGATATCAACAAGGAGATTGCGCAGGGTGGGCTGCCCATTTGTGTTCAACTGATGCTTGAGGGAATTTGAATTTAGCCTCAGGTCATCTGCTCCCGTAGAAAACAGACACGTCACGGGACGTTCGCTCTCAGCTTGAAGCTATTTTGGCGGGCTGTCCGTCGCTTGTGAAGCGTCAACCACGTCGCGGGGCATCGTTGGCCAGGTATTGCTCCATATTGCGCAGGCAGGTGTGGATCCGTAGATAGCGGGCAGACAGCTGCTTACATAAGCAGCGTTGCAGCCCAAAACACCAGAGGCACTGCCCTCTGAGCGTAATTAGCAACCAAGCAACCTACACAGTCTACAGCGTCCCTCGTGATCGTTGCAGTGCTGTTCAGTGGGTTAGGTGCATAAAGAAGCACACAGGTACCTACCTAGGGTTTCCATATACCGCAATACTTGGGTAGCGGTGGGTGACATCACTTGTACATCTGCATGCAACATTGCTGCTGTGTACTGCCAGCAACACCACTGGAGTGATAGCAGCCCGGGTGGACCTAGGTCCCCTGCCTCCACTGAAACACCCCTGCACGACCCCTACTTAGTCTCCACAAGCTTGTTGTTAGCCAGATTGCTGGACCTCCTAACCACCACCCAATCTCCTGGAAAGGGAGACTTCCATAGCTTCTAAGACTACGGAAATCGTGGTCTTCTCCCCGTCCTTGTTGTCGCCTTCTCTTCAGTTTGCACGCGCCCTACTCGAAAAGCCCGAGAAGTGTTCACGTCTTTCTCCGCCCCGACTCTTTTGCATGATCGTCTCCAGCATCCTCCAACGCCCGTCTCGCACACAAGAGCTGGCTGCAAGGGGCCGCCTGGGACTGACCCAGCGACATACGCTCCAACATTGCACCTCCTTGCCAACACCATCAACGAGCCGCATCCTTATAGCATAGTACAGCAATTAGCATTCCGATTGACTTCCACGGTCCCGGTGACGCTTCCAAAGGTCCCGTCCCAACTCCAATGGCGGCAGAAGGGCCCCAGCCTCCGCAGCATGTCCATCAATACACCAGCGATGTCGATGATGCCGACGTGGAGGAGACGGCGGACGAGTCAACTCCACGGCCATCCAATGGCGCGTTCGCGAAGAAGAAGCGCCGCCTGCCGAGGCGCATAGGACAGTTCTCTGGCTCGGTTCCCTCCACCCCCAAGACGCGCACAAGCTCTCCCAGCGCACGCCGCTTTCCTCCCCTGCCGCGCCGCTCGACCATGCCAGACCCTCGCGATCGCGGGGCTGTGTCAGAATCCGAAGCCCGCGAATTTTCTAGGCCTCCCGCCATAAGAGGCCATTCACACTTGGGTCGATCAGTCGATGCGGAGGAGGCAGACGATGTGGTAGACACGACCCGCAGAAGCCACTTCCGTGGGATGAGCGTCTTCACAGGTGGAGGCATGTCGGACGGCGATGCATTGCAGACGCCCCGGCGGCCACGCTTCGGAGGGGAGCGATACTCAACGTTCGGTGGCCATAGATGGAAACAAGTTAAGAATACTTTGGGTCTTCTGCGGCACAGAAAAGGCGAGCGCATCGACTACCTCAAGTCTACGGAACTCATGGGAGAACTTCGGGCTGGTGCGCCGGCCGTAGTGATGTTTGCTAGCATGCTCCAGCGTGACGAACATGGCCACAAGAAGATCCCTGTGCTTCTCGAGCAAGTCCGCGTGAACATCAGCGACAGCGTGGTTCGAGGCGATAGCGAACGACACACTCTCTTCACCATCCATCTGGAGTACGGCAACGGGCCAAATCGCATGATATGGACAGTGAAGAAGAGCATCGGAGACATTGTACGCATGCATCTCAAGTACAAGGGCAGCGTCACCACCGAGAGACTGAAGCGTCCCGGAGCCCGCGTAGGACCAAAGCAACCCAAATTCCCAGCCAAGGCCTTCCCCTACTTGCGGAGTATCAAAGCAATGGACTTCAGTGATGAAGAAGACGAGGGTCGCCCTGCTGAGACTCCCGAGGCTGTAGCAGCCGGCGAAATGACAGCCGGCGAGGCCACAGCCGGCGAGATGACTGCTGCCGAGGGTACGGGCACCGAGGCCGAGGGCCGTTCTGGGAAGAAACGCAAGGGCTCGCGTATGAACGTCCTCAGTCCGCGACGCAACACCACAATGCCTGAGGACGGTACTGGCGCCATGGCTGACGCCCAAGTCCAGGCTGCTAAGGACGCTGATGAAGCAAAGCGCAAATATATTGGGTTCCAGCGACGGTCACTTGAGAAATACCTTCGAGAAATGATACGCTGGCTCATGTTCAGGCCAGACAGCAACCGCCTCTGTCGTTTCTTCGAGCTGTCCGCGCTGGGGGTGCGCCTCGCGGCGGAGGGCGGCTACCACGGGAAAGAAGGTTTCATGCAGATTCGGCCAGCTAATGGCATCGTCAACCCGGCCAAGGCTGTCACTCGAAGAGATCGCAAGTGGTTCCTGATCCGACAGAGCTACATAGCGTGTGTTGACTCTCCAGAGAGCATCGACATATGTGATGTCGTCCTGGTCGACTTCAAATTCGAGATCATTGCCAAGAAGAAAGGCCTCAAGCAGGTCGGGCGAAAGGGCTCCAAGAAGGCCAAGTCTGACCAGGACGGGCCAGATGTCGGCGACGATGACGATTTCCTGAACGATCCCGAGTCGTCAAAGAAAAATCACCACCACAAACTGACCATTATCAACTCTGAGCGAAAGGTCAAGCTCTATGCTCAGCAGCATGACCTGCCGCAGTTTGAGGAGTCCATCAAGCTGATGAAGCAGAATTCGCCTTGGGCTTCAGACAAAATTCGATTTGCCAGCTTTGCGCCCGTTCGGCGAAACGTCTATGCTCAGTGGCTTGTCGATGCGCGCGATTACATGTGGAATGTCTCGCGGGCTATTTCCATGGCGAAGGATGTGATCTATATCCACGACTGGTGGCTGAGCCCCGAGATATACATGCGAAGGCCACCTTGTATCAGCCAGCGGTGGCGTCTTGATCGGCTCCTCCAATCGAAGGCGCAAGAAGGCGTGAAGATCTTCGTGATAGTATACCGCAACGTCGAGGCCGCCGTTCCCATCAACTCCGAGTACACGAAGAGGTCCCTCCTCAACTTGCATCCAAACATCTTTGTGCAAAGATCACCAAACCAGTACAAGAAGAACCAGTACTTCTATGCTCATCACGAGAAGATCTGCATAGTCGACCATTATATCGCATTCGTTGGAGGTATTGATTTGTGTTTTGGTAGATGGGATACGCCCCAGCACAAACTTGCGGATGACAAACCGACGGGCTTCGAGCCGGATGAGGTGCAGAACGTTCCCAGGGATGCCGAACACGTCCAGATGTTCCCGGGCAAGGACTACACCAACCCGAGGGTGCAGGACTTCTTCAACCTGGATCGGCCATACGAGGAGATGTATGACCGATCCAAGATTCCAAGGATGCCGTGGCACGATATCTCGATGCAAGTGGTTGGTCAGCCCGCTCGTGACCTCACAAGACATTTCGTGCAGCGGTGGAATTATCTCCGTCGTGGGCGGAAGCCAACACGGCCTTTGCCTTACTTGCTTCCACCGCCTGACTTCCGCGACGAAGACTTGGAAGCTATGGGCCTCACGGGGACATGCGAAGTCCAGATTCTTCGATCCGCGTCGACCTGGTCGCTAGGAATACAACACACCGAGTGCAGTATTCAGAACGCATATCTTCAAATGATCGAAAAGTCCGAGCATTTCGTCTACATCGAGAACCAATTCTTTATCTCAAGCACCGAGGCGCTCGGCGTGCCAATCGTCAACAACATTGGCGACGCACTCGTGGACCGTATCAAGCGCGCCTACGAAAACGACGAGGATTGGAAGGCCGTCATCCTCATCCCTCTGATGCCCGGTTTCCAGAACACCGTGGCTGAGAAGGAGGGTACCAGCGTCCGGCTCATCATGGAGTGTCAATACCGAAGCATCTGCCGCGGGGAGTCCTCGATATTCGGCAGACTACGAGCTGCCGGCATTGATCCTGAAGATTATATTCAGTTCTTCAGCCTGCGGCAATGGGGCGAGATCGGCGCCAATAAGATGCATGTCACCGAACAGCTCTACATTCACGCCAAGCTCATCATTGTTGATGACCGCGTAGCTTTGATAGGCTCGGCCAACATCAATGAGCGATCCATGCTGGGCTCCCGTGACTCCGAGTGTGCTGCAGTTGTTAGGGACACTGACCTGATATGGTCGACTATGGCAGGGAAACCTTTTCAGGTCGGCCGTTTTGCACACACCCTGCGCATGCGGCTCATGAGGGAGCATGTTGGTCTTCCAGTGGATGAGATTATTGAGGAGGAGAGGAACGCAGACCTGGAAAACGAGGAGGCTTTCCAGTCTGACATGGACCGAATCTACCACAGCGACTCGGATGGCTCAGAAACTTCAAGGCGGTCAGGTGCCAACGGGGACCTGAACGTACCACGTCCCCCAATTGAGAGAGGTCACAGCATTAATCATGACGTCGACCTCCAACGAATGGACAACAGCGACCAGTCTTCGTCCAAGTCTTCCAACTCGGATTCGAATGTCGTTGAAGCAGAAAGCGTGGATGCACCCGCCGACCCCAAACAAAAGAACGAGGTCGAGGGGTTTGGTCCTGATCGCTGGAAGGAGGCACAGGGCAAAGGTCTAGATCAAGGCAGGGATACCGTTGTCATCGGTGGCCGAGAATACCTCGCCCGTGATATCTCAGCTGAGGGCAAAGGAACTATCGAAAGTCCAGCCCCTAGCCAGAAGTCTGAGAGCCCGCGGCCTGCTGCGACGGATTCGGTCGGAGAAGGCCCCAGCAGAGCTGTGATGCCCCCCCTGGACCGTCGGAATACCGACCAACTAGGACTTCCCAGGGCCAACCAGCTCCCTGACCTTCCACACAGTGACGACACGGATATTGGCGGGCCGCCACTTCTTGACGCAGACGGAGAGCCGATCCTGTCTGTGTCGCATCCTCTGGCCGCTGAGATCAAGCCTGCCGTCCTTGACAAGGATTGCATGCGTGATCCGTTGGATCCGGCCTTCTACGAGGACGTTTGGTACCGGATTGCGGACAACAACACCAAGATCTACAGACAGGTGTTCCACTGCATGCCGGACAACGAGGTGAGGGAGTGGGACCAGTACACGGAGTACATAGACCACCAGAAACGACTGCAGGTGGCACAAGAAGGACCACGAGAGGCGCAGAAGGGTGAGCAGGGCGAAGCAGGTGACCCCAGTGGATCCGAAAAGCCGCCTCCGGAAGCCACATCTGGCGGCGCCGGCATCTCAGCCCCAGGTCCGCTCCCCGCGACCCGCTCGTTCTCAAGCAAATTCCCAGGTAAAGGCAACGCTGGTAAGAACCTGCCTCCGCTGGCTGGCGGTCTGAAGAAGTCCCCAACAGAGAATGAGTCACCGGCGCATCGCCATGCTCGACAGGACTCCAGGCTTGACGTGGAAAGAGCCGCCGCCGCGGCGCGTGCCATCAATTCACCCATGGGAAGCCCTGCATTCAGCCCTCCGGCCAACAGCCCTTTCATTCCAGCACCGACGGCACCTGCAGACCCAGAGAAAGCCGCGGCAGCGCGCGAGGACAGCAACACGAACGGCAGCACAGTGGAACCGTCGTCCAAGCTCGTGGTACCCGAGACCAGCAGGGCGACGACGCCGGACAAGCGTGACCGGCGTACCACCTTCAGCACCCCTGACAACACGCCGACGATCTCGGAGAAGCCACCAGGCAGCTCGGCCTCGACGACGCCTGCGCAAGGGGTGCAGGGGTCTGTCAAGCGACGCAGACGCGCCAACACCAGGGGCAGCCGCCACCGGCCTCCTGTAGAAGAGCTGTTGACCAGGGAGCAGCGCGAGGGGCTGCTTGGGATGGTCCAGGGCCACCTCGTGGTATTCCCGTACGACTGGCTTGTGGGCGCGGACGAGAAGGGCAACTGGCTTACGTTGGTGGACCAGGCTGCTCCGTTGCAGATCTAGTAAGTTTCAAGACATGTTGAGCCGGGTGTTGCGCATGAAAGCTGACCTCTCTATAGTAACTAAGATGGCTCCGGGTTGTGTGCTCCGGGGTTGATTTCATGGAGGCGTGAGAAGGTTTCCTACGAAATGGTCCTTTTCTGGTGCCCTCCACCAGCTTCATATGCACATTCTCACTGAGACGACAAGAAGGTGCGAGCTGGCCAAGGCTGATCGCACGGCCTGGCTCGCCGTTGAAGCACCGTCTCGAACCGGGAGAAAGGAGTGGTCATCATCATCAAGCAATCGGCGTTTTGGTTGTGCGCATTTGCATAAAGTTTCTGTGGTTGCATCCCGGGGTATAGAGGCCCAATTTCCTCCGTTCAACCAAGTCATTGTTAGTCATGTAGATATTTCAAAGGTATCCATCCGTCAACGGTTGTAGGCCTCAGTGCGCTTTTGAGAGTCGTGAGAGTCTAGTCGGCAATGACGTAGCAAGGTCCGCCGTGGTTTGGGCCGAGGGTTGAACCCTGTCGAGGTTCCCGGCGCAACGCGGCAGCTAGCGGACCTCAGACCACCCTCGATGATGTGCAAGACTTCTTCTCAACTATCTCTTATGCACAATCCACTCACCTTGGCCCAAGCACCGCGCACTGGCTGGGCTACTGGGAACAGCATTGATCATCAACATGCCTCCACCAGCATCTTTGCTGCGCGCGGCACGGCGCAACCTGACTGTAGCACGACAGTTCCCAGTCCACGACTTCCTCGCACCTGCGCTCTTCCATCCAACCGCCTCATCGCGGCGCCTGGTGTCCAGCACACCCACGAGACGCGCCGAAGTCGCCGACAGCACACCAGAAGCACCATCACCGTCACAAGCGAGATCCCAGAACGACGGGCCCACCAAAGCCAACAGAGGAAAGCGCAAGCCGCTTACCAAGGAGCAGCGCGACTTCCTCTCGTCCGCGCTGCGCGTCAACCAGGCAGGCGAGCTGGCGGCAACGCTCATCTACACGGCGCAGACGCCGCCCGTGGTGCGGCGGCAGCCCCACCTGCGGCCCCTGATGCGGCACATGTACGAGCAGGAGGAGGGCCACCTGGCGACCTTCAACGCCCTGATTGCCCGCCACCGCGTGCGCCCCACGGCCATGTACCCTGCGTGGTCGGCGCTGAGCTACGGGCTGGGGTGGGCGACGGCGGCGATGGGCAACGAGGCGGCGATGGCGTGCACGGAGGCGGTGGAGACGGAGATCGGGGACCACTACAACGGGCAGGTGCGCGAGCTGCTCGCCATGGTGCGCGGGTGGGAGGACGAGGGGTACGAGGTCGGCGGGGAGATCAGGGAGCTCGTGGGCACGCTGCGGCGCATCCGCGACGAGGAGCTCGAGCACCTCGACCACGCCGTCGAGCACGACGCGCAGAAGGCGGAGCCGCACTGGCTGCTCACGGGCGCCATCCGGCTGGGGTGCCGGGGCGCGATCTGGGTGAGTGAGAGGGTTTAGGTGGGTCGTGGGTGGTGCTACTCCGAGCTTAATGATCTGGTCGAGCGACAGGGCCTAGATGGTCAGCGGAGGGCGATGCTCCTCGGTCTGTGTCAGTGTGTGCTATGTTGGGAGCGGGAGGATGCGAAGCTTCTGCCACGCTGGGCTGCAATAAAGTTCAGAATCAAAACCACTTCCGGGACTACTCTTCAAAATGTGCCCACTATGTTATGACGTTGTATATGAAAAGTGATACAGACTCGATAGCTCAGTCATGCTACCAAAAAAAAGGCCGCGACAAGTGACTGAAAGGCACATTGTCTTCGGTCCCTCGGCGTCAGAGCAGCAGTGCAAACGTAACTCTTGAGTTGAAGCTCATGACCCTTGTCTGTTGCTTATTTGCAGCGGCTGACTTGGGGTGTTTTGAAGCCATATGTGTTGCATGTCCCGCGACTGACATCAAACATGGCGATGCAGCGAGAATCGGAATAGACGCTTGTGTTCAACTCCGGGCTGATTGCCGGTGAGATGAACCCCGGAATTGTTGGGGGCCGGGGGGCCGGGGGGCCAAGGATCGGGGTTGCACCGCGTTGTCCGTGCCGGATTACCAATCACCTAATCAGATCGGGCATACTGGACAACGCCCTCGTATCCAGGGGGCGTTCATTATCGGCTCCTTCGGCGTGGGCACTCATACAGGTTCAGGGTGTGTTGTCCCATCCCCATCGATTACTCAATGACTGTCCTTCTCAGGTCCCCATGTCCCTTTCTCCGAAATGTCGCGATCCCCCCGGGGCCATGTCGTCACTTCTTCCTGAAGCTTGTTCGTCTCTATCAACCCTGAGCCTTCCCCGTTAGTCGTACCCCAAGTGGTATAGTGTGTGTTGCCATATTCAATCGCTATATTATCCAGCCTTACAGCCACCTCTCTATGGCTGTGCCTGACCTCCCTACTCCGGGCGCGGGCAGTGCCGCCCTCAACAATGGCAGCACCGCCCCAGATGCCTCGGAACACACGCCTCTCATCCCACGCTCGCCGAGCCCACCTCTACAACGGCGGACTGTCGTCCAAGACCGTGACGAAGATGATGCTGTCCAGCATTATGTCACGCCCACACGCGCCGCATGCATCTGCTTCAGCATGTGGGTGCTGATGTTCATGCAGGGTAAGTGGGAAAAAAAAAAAAAAAAAAAAAAAAAAAGGGGGGATACCAGGACATACACAGCATGTACGCTGACTTCCCATATACAGCATGCAACATGAGCGGCATGACGATGGTCCAGTCCGCCATCGCCGAAGAGCTCGAGGCTTACGAGCTTGCCACGTGGTTCACGTCGGCCTACATGATCGCCATGGCCTCGTCGGCGCCGCTGGCCGGCCGCCTCGCCACCATCTTCTCGCCGGGCTTCATGATCCTGGCCTCGGGCCTCTCCGTCGCCGTCGGGGGCATCGTCACCTCCCAGGCCGGCTCCTTCGCCGTCTTCACCATGGGACGCGTCCTGACGGGCATCGGTGGCGGCGGCGTCATGACGCTGTCACTTATCCTAGTGTTGCAGCTCACGTCGCGGCGGCGGCGTGGCCTGTTTGTGGGCATGGTCAACCTCGGCTTCACCCTCGGCGTGTCCTTTGGCGCCGTCGTCTTCGGCGCTCTCCTGCCCGTGCTGGGCTGGAGGGCCCTCTTCTGGGTGCAGGCTCCTATCGGCATCCTTGCCGGGGCTGGTGTCTTCCTGAGCATCCCGGCGTTTGCCACCGCGGGCCCGGCCAAGGACAGGAGTGTCCTGCAGAAGCTCAAGTCAATCGACTATGCTGGCGCTGTCTTGTTGACGGCAGCCATCGTGTTGTTCCTCTACGGCCTCTCGGGTTCGATCCAGGTCCTCCCGATGGTACTCTCGGTGATCCCCTTGGTACTCTTCGTCATTGTCGAATACAGAGTAGCATCCGACCCGCTCATCCCCGTCAGCGTCCTGCAATCCCGCGGCATATTATTCTCGTGCCTGGCCCAACTGGGTTTCATGGCCGCTCGCTGGACCGTCCTCTACTACGCCCCCATCTTCGTCCTCGCGGTAAGGGGTCTGTCCCCCACCGTGGCCGGCTCGGTCCTCATCCCGACAAATCTGGGCTTTGGCCTCGGGGGCGTCATCGTTGGCTGGCTGCACATCCGCCGCTCGGGGGCCTTCTGGCTGCCGTGCATGGTCTCCATCTTCCTGTTCGGCCTGGCCCTCTTCGGCCTGTCCCTAACAAGCAACGCCGGCTCTCCGGCGTGGCTGTACGTGCTGCTCATCTTCTCGAATGGCTTCTGCAGCGGCGCGGCACTGAACTATACGCTGGCCCACCTCCTCCACCTCGCCACCCCGGAAACGCACTTCATTGCCACAAGCCTGCTGGCAACCTTCAGGGGCTTCGCCGGCAGCTTCGGCACGGCCATCGGGGGCGGCATCTTCACGCGGAGCTTAAGGACCAACCTGACAGCCGGCTTCGAGGCGCTCGACGGCACGACCGACCTGTCCCCCGGGAGAGTGGCCCTGATCAGGAGGCTCCTCGGGAGCCCAAACTTTGTCTTCAACGGCTACCTGAGCGCCGCGGAGAGGGAGGTGGCGGTCAAGGGATACGAGACCGCATTCAGCGTTATGTACACATCCGCTGCTGCCTTGGTGGTCCTGGTACTGCTGGTGCAGGCCGGCACGGGCTGGACGGCTCCGGCGAACCAGGAGGCCGAGGAGGAGATACAGGAGGAGATCGCGGAGCACGACGGGCGCATGGAGGCTTAGGTGACGTGCATGACACGGGAACAGGATAGTTCTGGGTCCTAGCGGCGGGAAGGCGTCTGACGGTTCGGTGGATTCACAACGATGTTCAGGCTTGTTAGTAGAGATATAGACGAAGTATGAACCCCAGGCGGAAAAGACAAAGCTGCCTTATCTCAAAGGCACGTGTGGCCTTTGCCATCTGGTTTTCCAACCCGAGACCCAAAACTCTGTGGCTGCACATCCCCGCATGGCCAGAAGTCGGTGAAATCTACGGCCCACCTCGTACGACTCTGTGAACCTCGCCGAGAACTTCAGGCGCGATATCGTCGCGACCGCGTCTGATATCCTTGCTCGTGAAAGCGCTAGAGCTGCTGAATCCCGCGGCGCCACCCTTCTCAAGCAGCAAATCCCCGCCGTTTTCTTCTGAGACATTCAGACCGGACAATTGACTATCTCCTCGCTCTGGAGATGACTCAATGGTTCTCAAGTAATTTAAACACTGAGATGCCGGGAGAAAGATGTAGAGGGCAGTTATATACAGAAATTCCTTCTCACCACTATCGAGCGACGCTCACCACTTAGAAAAGCTGTTACTGTCCCCATGCCGCCTGAGCTCAGTACTCTTCTCTATCAAAGGGTCACCCATACACATAACTGCAGTACCACAAGAAAACTCGCACAGCATAATGTCGTCGTCTCTGGTAACGAAAGCCATCATAGTCTCCCTTGCTAACCGGCTCTACTTTCCCCGCTGCTACGCCTCTCTTATGTGTACCTCTCGCTAACGCCAGGTATTCTACAAAACAGCACGGCACAATCCACTGGCTCGAGATCCCCGTCATAGACGCCGCTCGAGCCGCAGCCTTCTATACCTCCATCTTCGGCGTAAGCAAATATCCTCGGTAGGAGGGGAGGTCAATATCCTCCAAGAGGTGGAAAGAAGCTCAACAGAACACCTGGCTGACTGACCCGAGGGACAGTGGGAATGCACGACTTTCGACCCGTCGTTCTCGTCCACCTCCGCCTCCACCAACGGCAGCAGCAGCCCCGCAAGTACAATACACATGTTCCGGAAGGGCGCCGCCCTCAACGGCGCTTTCATCCAGGTGCCGGAGAACTGCCTGGTCCAGGCGTGGGGATCAGGCGGCTCGGGCGGCAGAGTCAACATGGCGATCCTGACGACATTTACTGTGGACAGTATTGAGAGGACACTGAGTATGGTCGAGGGCTTGGGTGGGACGGTGCACCTGTGAGTGCTTCAGAGTCTTTTCTTGGACCTTTGTGTCCTCCCCCCCCCCCTTTGCCGTTTCTTTATTTGTTCTCGCACGGCGACGACTACGATTTGCATAGTTGGTGCGTTCGGGTGATGAGAGGCATGATGAATTTGACTCGGTACAGGCAGAAGACGGCTATCGGAGGCGACATGGGATATCTGGCTAGGTTTGTCGACTGCGAGGGCAATCTTCAGGGCATTTGGGCCCCGAACTGAAAAGTGTCTGGCAGGGTGTGGTGCGTCGGTGTGTCAGCTGTATCTGCATATGGTGCGGTCTCAACGGAGTTTGTGTGTTTTGGTGTGCTGAACCAGGAAATATCATGGTGTGATGGACAAAGCGGTGGCTTGGCAGCAGTATTTCTTGTGAGCTTTACAACATGCTTGCTTGCTCGCGGTTCTTTTCAGTCCATCTGCATTGAGACCTCCTGTTCGCACGCAAGATGTGTGGATTCGATAGTTACTTTACAATCAATATCTTCTATTATAAGGTATCCGGAGTACATCCTATAAGGATCTACTTGACGTGAAGCGTTGGCTGGACGTATGCGGGTACTTGGGTCACTGAAAGAATGTCTCGAGCCAAGAGACTTGGTTTCTGAGGATGTAATATATACGATGTTCAAAGCGGTCTTGAAATATAGAATAGTGGGAATTCATCGTTGGTCAAACAGATGCCCAGATGCGTATATGCAGATTTTCCAACTCTGAACCCAAACATGCCGCCAGTAAAACAAAACCTGGTAAATGAAATGAAACACAAATGAATGAGAAAGCAGGAAGTGCAATGCCGATTCAACGGCAACGCCACATCATCGCTCCTCGGGTATCGTTGGTGTCCTGTTTCCCCTGGGCTGTCCTTGACCGTTTCCAGACCGGTCCCCGTCGCTCTCCCGACGTAGCTCCATGTGCTCAAACATCGGTGACGAACTTGTCGTCGTTGAAGAGCCCTGTCTTCTCTTTTCTCTTCTTTTCTCATTGAATGTATTTATCTTGTCCATGACGAAGGCAAGCGCCCCACCATCCTTGGAGGTGGAATTAGTAGTGGCGTTGCTCATCCTCCTCTGCCGCAGTATCTCGTCCATGTTGGCACTGGTGTCCCTTGTGCTGCGCCCGCTCTCCGGGTATTCTCCTCCGCCCATACCGCCACCTGCACTAGCACGCCGTCCCCGGGGTATTTGTGGGTCCACAAGGTCTCTCGCGTCTCTCAATAATGTCAAGAAGACCGGGTACGCGAGCGTGAAGAGCAGCAAAATGACGGGTATCACGAATGCAAGCTGTACGGACGCGCCATTGTTGCTCATAATGCCATACATCACGAACGGCCAAAACGCTGGTCCACTTGCACCCATGGTAAGCCATGCTGCCGCGCGTTTCGTGCGATTACCCTGACCACGGAGGCCCATTGCGAAGATGAGAGGCCAGATGGGCCCTTCGGCAAAGAAGAACAAGATTGCGGGGATGGCGATAAGATTCGAGTTCGAGGGGCGCAGCACGACGCATAGGAGTGCGAATATAACAGATAGGGTAGAAAAGATGGTGAGCTGGGTGCGAGGTGTCGGTACGAGTCGGCTCTGTGGGTGCTTAACCGACAGCCATGCGAGGTGGGCTGAGTTAAAGCGAGAGATCGTGAAGGCGGCGTGAGCAACGAGAAGGTAATCGGATACGGAGAGGACAAGGCCTCTAGGATGATCGGCATCTGAGGCACCTGGTAACGTAGAAGTCATGAGATCGTCAAAGAAAATCGACATGGACTCCTGCGCAGCAACATAAAACCACTGTGCCATCACAGCGAGGATGATGCACAACGTCCTAAGCTGCAGTCCTCCAATGGTCCGTTTCTTCGCGTCAACGGGCAGACGATCCGCAACGCGGCCCAGTTCAGCATCGGTAACCTCCGGCAGTGGCATGTAATAGAAGAAGAGGGCCAAAGCAACGCAAGAAAGCGTGATGGCCAGGTATGTCCACTGCACGTCTATCAACTCCAGGCTGGTTCGCCTTCCCTCGCTGTCGGCGATGTCGTCGAAGAAGACTTTCTGTGCTAGCAGTCCACTTATGACGCTTGCAACACCTTGAAAACCCTGCGCTATTAGTATCCGAGTTTCGGCGTGTTGCTGAGGTCCACATAGGATAATAAAGGGATTCGCTGCCGTCTCAAGGACACCCAGCCCAAACCCAACAACAAAGTTGCTGATCATGAAACCGGGGAACGAGGTCAGAACGGCGCATGGCCAAAACATGATCGTTCCGATGCCATATATGCAAAGTCCTAGGATGAATGTGGCCTTGAAACCGCCGACCGCGTCCCGATGTTTGTGCCTGCGTCGATTCCTGTGGAAGCGAGCATGTTCGTCGTGACGGAGGACCCATTCCCCTACAACAAGCGGTCCGAAGAAATAGCCGCCGCCAAAGTACGCAGTGGTCAGTCCCAATGTCTCAGCCGTGCTCATATCGGAAATGGTGGCAATGACGTTATTAAGCGTGTTCAAAAGCCCGTAAGAGAAACCCCAGAGCAGGAAGAGGATGGTGACAACCACACAGTACCGCAAGGACTCGGCAGGGGCTGTCTTGATCATGCTCTTGGGTCTTTTCATGTTAACAAACCCGAAATAAATAGCATTGTCGTTTCGGGACCTCCCAGACATCCAGGTGAGTCTTGTTGCCGGAGAGCCGGGCTGGGGCGGAACAGAGTTCGGAGAAGCGGGATTGACCATATCCGGCGTCGTAAGAAAATCGAGGCAGGAGATCTGCTCTGCGGACGAGTCCTGCTGCTGTGCTTGGGCGGGTACTGCAAGAGATTCGGGTCCTTCGCCTGACTCGGCAGGTGCGGTGGCATTCTGACTTCCAGTTGGTTCCTTGTCTTGTGTGTCGGTAGCGTACGTTGACAAGCTGGAATCGTGTGTCCCGTCTGGATCAAAAAGCACCGTGGGCAAGATCTTGAGTATCAAAGGCTTGAGCGTTGGGATACAGGCACAAATCATGCCCACATTGACCTCTACCGCCGACCACATCAACGACAAGGACGCATTCCAAGCGAATTCTGGGCTGTCGCCAAATAACGCATCCGGATCGTTCGACGGAGTAGTTGGGACGAAAGAGATGGCTTGTTGCAAGTAGTAGATGCGGACGACATCCACAATAGTAACGAATATACCCAGGGAGAAGGTGAAGACTAGGATATACTTCTGTCGCTTAGGCAACCTCATTCCCGTGAGAACAGGGATCGGGAGGGCCAGAATCGCGAGATCGGTGACGATGTTTACCGGCGCGGAACAAATGAACTCGGTGAGTAGGGGTATGCACTGGGCTTGGTACCTGTACAGGCTGAAGGCCGCAATGACCGGGTTGCACTGGAAAATGTTTAGGAAGGTGAGCACAATTCCTGCGGTATTGACGATAGCCAGCACAACCCATGACGCGATGCGAAGGATCTGCTGTGTGTTCTTGGAGAGACGCAGGTAGAAGATGAGGATGCTGGTCTTGAGCGCCATGAGCGCAGGGTTCTGTTTCCTTGTCAGCCAAAAGGCTTGAAACTGTATGTACGAGAGCGAGACTTACGTAGAGCACGGAGAAGGCATACTCCGTCTTCCTAAGCGGAAGACGGTCTCCACTAGCAATGTTTGCATCGTGCCTCCCCAAGCCCTTGCTCGTGCCAATGTCGATGGTGGTGCTGAGGCCGACAGCCAGGAACCATGCCAGGATAATGAAGTAGTCGTCCCAACTGACGCGCTTGACGATCAGTGACCGACAAAACAGCCTGGCGATGAAGAAAGCCGTGCCGACCACCAGCGTGGCTGTGGTGACGGCGAAGACTGCGGGACCTCGATCAGGGATATGGTCCGTCGAAACGGCCATATCGGACATTGCGTAGGACCAAGGCGCAGATGCCGCCTATGGAGGTCTGCGTAGATACGATGGGGCCCTAATGCGATAATTTGAGCGAAAGCGCCATGATTGAGATTTCGGGCGCATCAGATGAGGCTGAAAGGCGACGGTGACGAGATTGGGCAGGTCCACTGCGCCGTGGAGGCGGCCGCGACCTGGTGGGATAGAATTGCGCGGCCGAGGCCGATCCTGTTTCGCTTCAACGGGCTGCTGATGGCGCCGGCCCTGGACGGTCTGTGAGGTGTCTGACCGAGTATAAGTCGGGGGCGCGAATGGCTGGAATCACCAGCCGAGCGTCGGTATTGTCTGCTGGGCGGGACTCGGTGGCCACGTGCGATGGCTGATGTAGCCGGCCAGGCTATTTTTGTCCTCAACGGTGATGAGCGGGCCCAGGCGCAATTTCGTCTGTTTTGCTATACAATGCCTTGCTTAATAATAACAGACAAAGTTCATTGTGACGGCAGCGCTAAAACAGGAGTCAGTCGATCCTCAATGCCGCCAGCCGCGTCTGCGCAGACAGCAGAATCCGGGGAACTGTCAGCTGGCAGGACGAAAGGCGTAGCCGTGCGCTTGAAGGAGAGATCGAGGGGGGCTGACGCAAACGATTCGTATAAGCAGATAATCCGGTAGGTATACAGAAGCAGGCTGTGCAGGCTGCTGTGGGCTATGGGGCGTGGTGTGGTTTGGGGCGAGACGTCCAAGACGTGTTAAAAGTTGGGGCCCAGATGTCCGGTTGACCCTAGAGCGCCTAAAGCGGCGGGGCCGCCGGAGCTAGTTTCTTCAACACCTTCCCCACCTCAATTCGGTGAAGGGTGCTGGACTGGACGAGGAGCAGCAGCAGCAAGCTCACGATCCAGCCAGTGCAGGAGGGCAGAGGGATTAATACAAGGATGGATGCATGAATCGGCGGAGGACTAGCCGATCGAAGAAAGTTGGGCGGAAAGGAGGAAAAAGGGACGAAAATGCGACTCGAGCAGACAAAAGCAGAATTGGGTTTGATCGGATCCTGAGCCAAGCACGTAAGCAGTGGCTAGGTGGTGGCTAGAGGAAGTGGGAGCGGAAGACGGATATGGGGAGGGACGAGGATGAGGATGGGAGAGCGAGCAGAAGAACATGGGAGAAACATAGACTAGATAATCCCTCCACCAAGGCATTGGACCTTAGGAGGCTGCGGGATTACTACGCCGCCCACTGGCGCTGGCAGTGACAGAGGCGCCTCAGTGGCACTGCAGGTGACGAGAATCGGAGGATGCGAGCGAGGATGGTCAACGGCAGGATGGAAGCCGGTCCGTCGATGATGAACCGATGTCGATGATGGCTGTCCCTGTCCCAAACCCAAGAGGCCGGGAAAGCTTGGCATTGGCTGCCACCCGACAAGCCCTGCGAGCTCTCGCCAATGGTCAGGTGAGGGAACATTGATCTGAACCGGCCGACCAGCAAAATAGGCCCGAACAGGGCGAGGCAGGGTCGATTCCGTCTGCCCGTCTGCCCGTGCAATGGGGTTGTCGAGCACATCCTGCCAGCCCGTCAGCCTGGCAGGACGGCGTTACGTTGCAGCAGATCACCTCGATCAGTGAGATTGTCGGAGCCGTGAGCTGTGTGATGCGATGGGCTGTGACTCGGCCATGACATCCACCAGCGTCGATCACCGGCCAGGTGGAACAACTTGGGTACTGTATGCCCTGTGTGTACTTCAGGTATTGCCTGTGGGCCAATGGTCCTCTCGTCCCAGTCTCTGAAGCCGAGCGGGTGGAGCGGGGCGACAAGGCACTTGTTCGCGTTGTTTGGTGGCGGGCAGCCGGTTGAAGTTTGCTCTTACCCCGGATTTGAGCACGGGCACCTGGAGGAAGGAGCGAACAATAGCGCTGGGCCTGCTCGCTCGCCCTCCCGAGTACGCGCGAGTGCACGAGTGCACCAGCACACGTGTACATCCGTACCTAGTGGATAGGTACAGAGGTACTTTGCTCGCTCGCCAAACAGCATCACCAGTACGTGGTGTGCTGCGTCCCCCCATCTGTCTGTGTCTCGCGGCTTGCAGGTTTTTGATTGCCATTGGCTGCAGGATTTTCATCATCAACGTCCCCTTGCACTCTGCCCGCCTGTCTGCCTGACCACCGTACTTCCTTCAGCAAGGACAACATTACGCAGTATCCATGGAACCTTGGCAGGTTGGTCACAATTGCTGATCATAATCTTGCATTTTTTTTTTTTCATTACCAGCACAGCGACCCTGGCAGCACACGAGACTGGGAAGGAGCATTTCAAACCGCCAGCGACGTCATCGTCCGTTGACCCCGCATTGTCAATTGAGGCTTTTTCCCTTAGGGAACTTTAAAGGCAGAGATGGCGTGCCAAGGCCACTCAGACGCCTGACACATCTGAGGGTTGATTTACCGTTACACTGTGGTACCGACGTACGGTTGCACTGTAGCAAGCCTCGCCCTGATCCGAGCCACCCCTGCCTGCCGAGCGATCTTGAACAAACTTTCCACTTTGGACCCTGCAGCAAAGGAAACCGCATCTTGAACCGCTGGTCCAACCGACGGCAGAAGACATTTGGCCTGATTGCCAGATTGCCCACAGACAGCCCTGGGGATGCCACTGGATATGTGCCCATTCTCCACGCACAACTGTCTCTACGACACTCTTGGTCTCAACTACCTACACACAAGAGGCCTTGACCGCTACCCACGTACTTGCAGTGCCTTTCGCGACGGACAAATAAAAATGCATTTCATCGCAACATACGGCTATGTTCCGTAAGCCCACGGCTCCCTGCCTCGCATCGTCACCCTTGGAGCTGCATGCCGACTTCATGCGTGGCCCTCCCCAGCGGTGAGGGAAAAGCTACCGCGCCAGCCCAATAGCAACACGCGCCGGCGCATCCTACTCTCCTGAATCGACGCCTGTTGATGAGCTGGCACATGCTCCCTCCTTTTTTTTTTTTCTCTCTCACGCTGGAGACGAAGTTCCCCCTGCGAGGCGGTGGAACCTGCACTCCAAAGGAGACTAGACTATCCGCAATGGGTCCCCATGATCCACGATCTCGACGCTCCCGACGCCCCGCCGCCGCTTAGGATTTCCCCATCTCTCCCCTACCCGAGCGTGTCTTGCTGTGCGAGCATGTGTCATCACCTGGCATGCGCCTTCAACAATAACAACAACGACCTCGCAGCAGCAGCGTCTTTGGTCCGCTGTTTTAGCCCGCTCCTGGCTTCCCACATTACACCGGTGCACAGCCAAGCCTGTCGCAGCGCTGCGCACAGTAAGCAAGCACAAGCAAAGTCGTGAGACGTCCATCTGCAACCTATTCCGTCTGCTCTGGGGCTGTCAGCAGTAATCCCCATGGAACCCGTCTCAGCCTCCCAAAGGGTAATGCTATATTCTCATTGGCTCTGAAAATTCCCTGCTCGGGTACTTGCAGCTGCGAAATGCGCACTTAGCTAAGTACAGCCAACCCCTCGGCGTCCAGACACCTCCTCCGAGCTTCAAGGTGGGCCCCGTCACACGCACAGCGCCCGATCACAGGACTGACAAAGTCCACACGACATATGCCAGAGGTCCTGTCAACGGAAACAGGAGCCAGCAAATCCACTGGTCCTACCAGCCTGGTCGGTAGCCGTGAGAGGGATAAGCAGGTTGGGGTTTCTCCTCACGCGTGGTGCCTAGCTGTGCTACTGGTGAAGCTACAGAGCAGCCCGGTAGGGAAATGCAGGGCGAGGAACAACCTCGGGTCACACAGCGTCAGAGGTCTCAAGGCTGCCGCACCGCCCACCACACAAGCGAGACCAACCTGTAAGCTATTCAATAGTAGGTATGACCTGCCACTCTGCGGACCTAATGCACGATGTGCTGGGGACCCTAGGTGCTCCCTCGCAGGCACTCGAGGCCATTGTTCTACTGGTATGCTTCATAGGCAATATATGCGGTCAGCATCCAATGCACATCTGACGCCCTGAATCTGGGGCATCCTGCAAGGGATGCCATTTCTTATTCCCTTCTGCCTGACCACAGGCCAGTCAGAAATATTGGCTGGCAGCCCAATTGGGCTGCATCGTTGGTGAACCACGTCTGTAGGGCAGTGTCATATTTTCAGCTGACGGCGGAGCTCACCGCTGATACAATATATTGGAGGACGGGTCTAGACCGCGCCAAAGAGGCAAGACCCCAAGGTCGGGCTACACGACCCTCGTGACTGAGGCATACCTTTTAGCAGGTGCTGGCAGCGAGGCGTGTGGTGGGCGCTGAGCAGTTGAGAGCAGAGCAGCAACTTGATCGATCGCAGCAAAGACTGGCGATATCTTCATCATCGGCGTCCACCGATGTCATGTCCGCAAGTCCCCGGGTGGTGGACTTGGCCTCGGTGTGGTTCAAATCTCGGCTTGTCCACAGATTGTGGCATCTCTTGTGCTTCTCCAGGGTGATCTGCGTGCGGACCTGGATCACGTTCTATGTTGTCGTCGTCAACGACTTGTCCTAGTTGAGCCGGAAGACAAGCCCACCTGTGTTTGGCGCTGTGTGATGCGTAGTCAGTGATGACAACTTTCTCCTAGATTGTTGTGCTTTGTCGACAGGGACAGGAGTAACACCTGCTTGGGTGCTGTGGGCTCTCTCTGCCCCGAAGCTCACTCTGCCGCTGCTTCTGTTGTATAATGGAACTGCCGTCATCTCTGTGTCCGTCCACGCCTGTCCGTGTCCTTTTCGTGCTCCCGTCGTCCATATCTTCCCGTCTATGAATGTACCCAAGTAGCCGCCGTGTTGGAAGGGTGAGGGTACGTGCTAGTTTAGAATGTCAAACCGAGGTCGAGGAATCAACCGCCACGTACACCCCGCTAGCTAGTTACCAGGAGAGCCCGCCCCCGAAGTGGCGGTAAATACCTTCCGTTTGTATCCGTTGAGATGATTCAAGTGTGATGACTTCCCGCCTGATGACTTCCATGGGACGACCCTTGACATGATAGATGTTTCTTGGTTCCGTC